ACTGTTCACAATCCTTAAACTTCTGTGATGTCAATCAGTGGTAGAATTCCTTTATGAGATTTTGAAAACAAAATTCAGTGTCATCATTAAGATTTTTCCTCTATGTAAAAATTCTTGGGCCTGAAAATTCAGGCTGTGAGATACAAAATATCGGAGGCAATGATAAATTACCCTAAAACCTGATTTGATGGTTTGTGCAATTAACTGAAGAAAAGCCACTGCAATTTGGACAAATCCTGAATGTATATCAATGAATGGTATACCTTCCATTGTTACTTCTATAAGATGCGTAATTTTCAAAATTTGAAAATCTGATGCATTTAATTTATTTGCCATAATTCTGCAAAAAATATTAATTTTCCACTTCAGTGGAGAAACTGAATATACAGCATATTATAAACTGCATATTATAGCTACGATTTTCTTGGAAATGGAACTTATCTATATTAATTTATGAATAGATTTATGTTGTATATTTCTGTAAATTTGTATATAGATTTATACATATGTTATTGTGATCTCTTCCATATTTATCAATCACACAACTATTTTATTGAGTGCTCCCTTGTAAATGTTTGTACAACCCTATCGTTAGCTTTCCAAGCTCTCTAGAAGAAGCTTTGACTTAAAAATTAATTTTGTGGCAAAAAAATCTCGCTCCATTTAAATTGATGACCATTTAATAAACAATAATCTAACCCAAACTGTATTACATTTCTGTAAAAATTCAAAAATGTTCTTTTTTTCTCTCCACTGTAACATATTTTGACCTGGCCCATGATATGATGAAGACTTGAATAATATGGGTCAAATTGTTATTAGTGGAGAAAAAAGCATTGTTTGTATTTTTTTAGTTATGTAATAAAGAGTTCATGTGTTTGAATATTATCTGTTAAATGATTGTCAGTTGAAAAGGAATTAAACTGCACAAATAAACAGTAACAAGAAATAGTATAAATAGTATCAAAAATCACACTTGCCCATTTCATAATATAAATATTTCGGTAGTTGTGGGTTTGAGTGTGATACATTTTCATGCACATTTAATTCCAAGACAAATCTGATCTATTCTTTTCAGAAGGTTTTTATAATGCTAATACTGTAAAACTTGCTCAATGCAGAACTTGTTTAATGTGTAAATCTCACCAATGTGAACTTAATCCGCAGTACTACACTAAAATGTGGAAAGAAAATATCGGTCTCTTTAAGATTCTGTATTGAACAAGTTTCACTGAATTGCATAACTGACAAGTAATTTATATTTAGGTATATTCAGATTTATTAAATTTCTATTATTGTTTGTGTTCCAGAATTTACATCTCTTCAATTAATTTTCATATAAAGTTCTACTGCAGTGAAGTGAAATTGTAATATATCTATACTTTGTACCAATTACTACATAGGACCAAATTGCAATTTGTACAAAACAATGGAATGACTGAGTGAGGTACCAGAAGTAAAATAATACGTGGAAAGTAAAATATCAAAAGATTGTAAAGTTGTAAATTTTATTAGTGGCTTTGTGGCATTTTATTTGTGTATAATATGTCACAAGCAATCAGTATTGAAATTTCCTTCTAATATGTAATTTGATTTGTAGTGAGGAGCATATTTTAAATGTTATACTAGTTACACAAAATGTGTTTCAAGGCAGCCTAGTAGTGCATTTCTAGTTTCTGACATTCAAATGTTTTAACTTCCATTCTTTGATTGTTGTTGATTGATATTTAATGATATTTTCTTTAATATATATACATTTTTTTTGGACTAGGATACAGAAATATTTATCACTTGGCACTGAGTAATTGAAATTAATTTGTACTGTGCAACTTTTTGGAAAACATACATATTATGTTGAATAGTGAGGAGTTATGAATCAACACAAACTTGAATATTTATTCAATTCAAGTGTAAGGCTGTAAGACCATTTGTCATAATCAACATATTGTCTTTTTCATGAACTTCCTTTTCAATCTTAAGACAGAACAGGAAATATGAAATATTTTACATTACGAAGATGTCATTCTCAGATGTCATTTTACAAAGCAAACATTTTGCTTATTTGCATTACATTTTTTAATTATTTCGAGAAAAAAATAATTAATTATTATTGAATTTTTGAAAATATGGCTTCTAGGAATGTACAATCATTTTGTACAAACAGTTGCAAAATAATAGATAACATTTGTAATTAAGTATTTGGGAATATTGTGACTACATAATTCTAATTTCTAAATTTCAATATTTCATTTTTTAATTATTTTTGTTATGTATGTTTCAATTGCTATTTTAATTTAGTTGTCTTGGAAAACATAAATTTTATAACTCAATCTTTCCCATTTGTACATGTGTTTGTAAATTCCCTGAGGGCTTAGAACTAGAGGAAACTTCTCAAATGAATTTTTGATCTCAGAGAGATGTTCAAAATATTGTTTCAAAATTTACGACATTGCACATAATGAAGGACAACTCCTACCATCCAAAGAAATTAAAAGTACATGCTCACACACTTATTAAGAAATGGATAGCTTTCAAATGTTTGTTTGTGTGTGAATGTGTATAAACACCTGTGTTTATTAATCTTAAATGTTTACATGTAATTGAATTATGCCATATTATTTAGTAAAAACAAAGTATGTGTTTTTATAAATGCAACATTTGAACAAAGTTTTGAAAAAATTGAGTTTACTTAGCAGTTCTGTGTACTTATGTTTTCAAAGTAGAACCAATTGTGGGAGACCATGCTTTTAAAGGAGCCTAGCACTGTAGTATTACATTATTTTCCTTTTATATAGCCAAAAGATAAAAATATTAATTTAAATATTCTAATGTATTATTTTCAGAGTATATTTACTTGATTTTCTACTGTAAAGGTACTATCTTTATGAATATGTGAAGGCTGATGTAACATAATTTGAAAATATTTTTAATTACAGTATATGTATTATTATTGTTATTATATACAGTTATTTACACCTTTATTTTGTATTTGATTATTAGAGCAGACTTGATAAGATGAACTTTCCTTAATATTTTGTTTATTTAATTATTGCTTCTTCAGATTATTATGAATTAGTTTCACAATGATTCAGAAAATGAGTTAATTGCTGTGAAGAATGTAAAACACCTTTTTACCATGTACTATCTAAGTGTGGTGAATATGAAAATAAAATCAATTTGTTATAACATTCTATACAACTGAAGAGCATGTTGTTTTACACTCAAACTTTAACATTTGTGTAAATGATTCATGTGGAAACAAAGTATTATTACTGTCAATTTCTGAGAAATACCTTTTTATTCAAAGTTCCTGGATTTCCTTTTCCAGTTTGAGAACATGCAAAAAGTCTTCTTGAGAAGAAATTATCAATAATATTATTCTATTCCTTCAGAAAATTGTAATTAATTTCATTTTAATTCTTTACCTTTTAGTTTGTTGCAGAAGTCCCAAATCTCCAAATCTTAACTTTTTTAAATTTTTAAATATCAATTTGCACAAATTGAAATGTGTGACAGTATTATCTTCAGAGATTGTCATAGTAGGATGCTTCCATCTGGTCTTTCCATCCAATGCATCGTTTATGTCTTTCAATTTGCAATTTTAAAAGGTGGAGATATATTGTTCATTTTCCATTACCATTATTGAAAATGATATTGAAGGAGGGATATACTTTTTGTGATTTCTCCACAGACAAAAGAAAACTGCACTCATACAAAAATATCTTGTTTTAGTTGAACATTTTTATGCATTAAATTGATGCAAAATGGATAACCAGAGCTGTATTTTCTATTTTATGTATTAGATTCTAAGTCATCAGTAAATATTTGCACAAAAATATGTCTTTGATTTTTACAACCTTGAGACCATATTCTTGAGATTAAAAAGGGAAATGACCTGTCTTACATTACAACCAAAAGACGTATTAATGCAATCATTTACTTATGTAATACTAACAAATATGGCAAATATACAACCATCATCCTGAGACCAGTGTCTCATGCTGGATGTTAGAGGGGATATGAAGCAACACCTATGCTACAAGTGTCAACTTTCATTTTAAGATAATGTCAATGGTCACTCTGCAATACATTTGTGTTAACTGAAAAGCGATAAATATATAATTTTACTTAAAGTAATTGTTAGTTAACTATCTACACTAATTTCAGACAGAAAACATTAATTTATTACAATAATATATTAGTTTCCTCTGTTAGTTGTTTCTATTTGAAGGAAGAAAAAACATTTCTTTTTTGCAACTCGTAATTGAATTGTTGAAATTATAATTTAGAGTTTAGTTCAGCCATTTTCCATCAAAAATGCCATGAAAACTACTGTGAGATCACTCTTAAGGGAAATTGTCAGAATATTCAAAATAATTGACGTGAAGATGAAGCATCTCTCCCGGATTTGCATCCCGACAGTATCAAATGTTTGCACTTAGAGACAAACCATTTTCAGAAATTATCAGATCCGTTCTGAACAAAAACTGAGAAATTACAATCAATTGCCCAAATAAACATTCCCGTTCTTCAAATACTTTGCTGCAAGTCATTGCCCATCATGAAGTCAATTCTTAAGGTATAACATTCAATTTCTTGCCTATTTTTGAAAATGCATTCACAGCACAATGTATGTCGTCTTCAGAATGGGCAGCTGATATCTGAACACGTATTCTTGCTTTATTTTTTGGCACAACTGGGTAGCTGAAGCCGATTACATAAATGCCTTCCTCTGAAATAAAATAGTGAATTAAGTGTTGTGTGTATTCTTGACCATTTTCTGTACTTTATTTCTTTTATACATTTTTTTTTCTCAATATATTTCATTCAGGAGAGGTCATGTTTAGCAATTTATAAAAGAATATTTATATTTTTATTGGCCATAAATAAATGTACCCTAAATGTAAAGTTAATTTCGGGGTAATTCACATTTTACTTACCGTACACTAAGTACAAGACATTATTATAATTATTAAAATTTAAGACACTTTACATAAACTTCTCCACATGCTCTTGAAAACTCCAAAACAATACCACAACATCAACTGAGAAAACAAAATCAATGGTAATTTCAAAGGATTCAATATGGTGTAAATTGATGGTGAATAATAAAATAATCCAACAAGTCATGAAAACCACACATTTAGAAGTGGAAATTTCAAGCATGAGGAACACTTATAATGAAGTTGAACAGCAAGTAATCAAAGGAGCTAGAATATTGGGATATCTCAAAGATGTAACCTGGAGAAATACGTATCTTAACACATAAAGTAAAGTAAAAAACAAAACAATAGTAAGACCCGACATGACTTTTGGAGCAAAGACATGGCTCGATACTAGAACAAAAACCCTACTAAGAACTTCAGAGATGAGTACTTTAAGAGTGATAACAGGAAAAACATAATGGAAAAGAATAAATAATCAATGTAAAAGGAACAACAAGAAAAGGTTGAGGTGAACACGTTTTCAGGTCAGATAATAGTAGGCTGATAAGAATAGCAAGAGATTTACGAACCTTAGGTAAGCAGGATCCAGGAAAACCAAAGAAAAGATGGATCGAAAGCTGGGCATCTCCTGACTTCTCCCGACTCACCATGGTAATGTGTGATTAATAAATTCCACCCACATAAAAGAAGAAAATGATTATTAAAATGTATTTACTTACCGAGCATCTCTGAAGCAAATGTATTGGCAAGTCTTGCATCTCCCAACATTACAGGGCATATAGGATGATTTTCTCCAGCTATTGTGAAACCTAACTTGGTCATCATGAGACGAAACATTTTTGTATTTTTCTGTATGTTTGTCACAAAACTCTTGTCATTTTGAATTATATCCAAGGCCTAAAATAAGTTTTCTTCAATTAATAATGAATAAGTGCAAGAACATTTAGAATTATGATTAAGTGCCTATGGTTACTTATAGGCATACATACAGAAATGGCCATGGTCCCCCTGAGGATTTTGAAAGGAGCCCTACAGCCTTATGTAATAAAACATTTTATTTGCTTAATGCAAATATGTTAAATCCTGATTTTCTCCCTTTTTCCTCTAACAATTCGGAAAGTTTTTGCATGATACATGGAATAGCGACTCTCCAAACCATCTGGCATCTATGTAAATGGTTTGACATAAAATTTATTTATTAATTCTATTATTAAAGTTATATATTTCATTTCTTTGTGAGTTTTTTATTTGTTTTCTTTGAAATATGTCATATGTACTTTAAAAAAAGTTCAAAGAAAAGGTGACTCAAAATGTAGTTAGGCTCCTCTCTTATTTTGGGCTGCACATGACTATACATTTAGCTAAATTACAATTACTTTAATCCCTGCTGCAACAACTGGAGGCGGAAGAGCATTTGAAAATAGATATGGACGTCCTCGTTGTCGCAGAAGTTCTATTACTTCTTTTGGCCCAGTTGTGTAGCCACCTGATGCTCCGCCAACTGCTTTGCCTAGAGTTGAATTTATAATATCAACAGCACCTAACATCTCAAAGAATTCTTCAGTGCCCCTGGAAATAAATCCTCATTTTACAATCATGGTTGAAAAATATTGTCTCATTGATTACCTTGCAACATACTACCTTCCAGATTTACCAAAGAAGCCAGTGGCATGGCAGTCATCAACAAATGTTATTGCATTATATTTTCTTGCTAAATTAAGAATTTCTGGTAGAGGAGCCACATTACCATCCATTGAAAACACTCCATCTGTAGCTATGAGTTTTATTCGAGCATCAGTACTAATTAATTTCTCTTCTAAATCTATAGGCAAAAAGAAGTAGATATCAGAAGTCTGGAGTTTAGAAGTGTCAATAGTGTTTATACCTCATAATTATATTACCTTTCATGTGGCGATGGCTGTAACGGATCTTTTTTGCTCTACAAAGCCGTATTCCATCAATAATTGAGGCATGGTTAAGTTCATCTGAGAATACTGCATCTTCATTGCTGAGAACTACTTCAAATAAAGCTGCATTGGCATCAAAACAGCTTGGATATAAAATTGCATCTTCCCTATCATGAAATTTTGCTATTTTATTTTCAAGTTCCTTTAAGTGAAAATAATTTTATGTCAGTTGAGGAAATACAGTTCCTCATGAGCGTGTAATAATAAAACATTAACACAAGCCTTTCCAACATTTTCTCATATTCTATGATCCATATGCAGGTCCAGATTTAGGTATTGCTAGGCTCCCAGGCACAAAATTGTGTTGGGGTCCACTGAAGAATGAAAAAAAGAAGAAGAAGAAGAACCACATACCACCCCCTTCACTATAAATTCAGCCCTGGGACATTTGAGGATTAGCTTACTCAATTTATACATTCAGTTGCAAATGTTAGTGTTTTTAATATTAAGAACTACAAACTATCAAATATTTTAAAAAATAATTAATTTTTTTAAAGCAAGCTTTAGTTTACAGTAAACAATTAAATTAACAATTATTTTACAAAAACAAACATTTAACAATTTTTGTTGTTGTTGTTGTTGTAGACATTTTCAAGTATTTTATGTAATTCTGTGGGGCCTCTATTCCCCAAGTGTCCCTTGGCAAGTACTTATTTTGGTTGTGGGTAAATGTGGACCTGACTAAAAGCTATGTTAAGTTAACAACCTTGTGAATAACTTGAGTTCCACAAATGAAACGAACAGAACTCAAACCAGCTCCATAGTTCTCGATTGCTACTTGTGCTGCTTTTACCACAGCAGGATGACTCTGGAATGGAAATAATTTAATTTCAAATTTTTATATATTTAGAATTTAAAATATTTTGGAAATGAACTCATCCTGTTGCACATTAATACTTACTGACAATCCTAAATAATTATTAGCACAAAAATTTAGCACTTCACGATTGGGCTCAACAGAAATTTTAACTCCTTGAGGTGATTTAATGAAGTACTCTGATTTCCATGTCCCTGCCTCTTTAATTGATTTGAGTTCGTTTCTCAGTAGTGCACAAATTTGACCTCGTGCCTGTGAATTACTACGTGAAGGAATACATGAAGGAAGAGTGTGAGTTTCTGAAAAAGAAATATTTGACAATATTCCTGTGGTCAAAGGGATAAGTTCTTTTGTTGTTAGCTAAAACGTGGGTTCTTAGGAACTTTTGCTTAGAGATTACAGATTTAGTACAAATGTTTCCAATTTTATCATTTAATATTCAAACAAGTAGAAGCATGTAATTGTTAAAAAAAATTTACAGAAGTAATGATTTAATTATTTTATCTGATTACTATGGGCGTCCTCAACATAAATTATGAATAATATTTTCCGTTATAAACTTAAAATATTCTTTCTATTTACGAGGACTTACTGAATAAGCGTACCGCTGAGATTCCCGACATCTTTGACTCAAGGTGAGCAAGATTTTTGCTTCAGGTTAAAATGAAGGTCATAGAAAGTCAAACTCTCCTTGTACACAAAAAGATGCTATTGATACATTAGTATTTAGTAACGGGTTAAATGGCTAGTAATAGACTGAAATGCTGCTCATTGTCGGAACGAAAGGTAGTAAAGAATTCTCAAATTTCATTTTCCCGCGAGCCTCGCAATGGTTTCGCACATGATGCGTGATGATTCTTGTACGGAGGGTTTGAGCTTGCATATAAAACTAGGTCTCCATTACTTCACATCAACCAATTAAATGTACGCGTGTTGAGTTTATTTTAATTAAAGAGAGGCCCCGGGTTCCAGGAAGTACACCCCGCATGCGCGATTTCGCTAATTGCTTCGTTCGTCAAAAGAAAATGCGCCGCGTTGTAACTAAGCTGTATGATCGTCCCGGGCGATAAATCGGAATTACACGACCCCCTCGCTTTCCTCCAATCCGTACAGGAGGAACTATTGGTGCTACAAATGGCACACCCTTTCCCGTATTAGTTTTCCATTTCCTTTGGTCTCGGCTAGCTATTCGGACTTGCCACATACTCTTGCCAGCTGCCATCTATAGCCGCCCAAGGTACTTTTTTTTTTAAATGTCTTTAATATTTCGGCTTCCTAATAGTAGAACGGAAACATTATTTTCAGAACATTAAGGAACAGTAAAACGTGGTCCTGAATGGCAATTGTCTTTGAAGAATTTGGAGCCGTTTTTAAGAAAATGGCATTTAAATACCGCTATAAATTTAGATTTAGATTTATTCAGTCAAAAAACAGTAAAAACTGAATGTGGCGTAGGGGGGAAAAGATAATCTGCGCACGTTTTTTTGAGTTCCAGAATCCCTTCCCGTCATTTTAACTATAAATAGTTGAAAGGTGAGTAAAAGTTTAACAAAAATAGAGAAAGAAAGAAAGAAAGAAATTTTCGTTTCTGAGTTATAGAAAACATTTGCATCGGTACACGAATTGCAAGTATGATTTTTCTGCATTGCTAAGAAAATAACAATTCTCATTTACCTCCACTCTTACCATTACAAGCAAAAGGAGAGTTAAACAAAACGTGCGCATAGTGAAGCTACATTTATGTCCAGAAGCGAATCAAGGAACCATCTCAGCATTTGCTCAATGGATCAGGGAAACTGGACAAAAACCTGATCGAGATGGAAGTCATTGACCCGGAAGCTGAAGACTTTATTTGTTACAAACATATTAAGTCTTTAAAAAATATATACAATACAAATGTAAACATTCGAGTCATTCTATATATTTGTTCTGTAATTTGAGGTGACAACACTGTGCAAATCCCGAAGTTTTGGATTCGCTTTTGCTTATGTTATATTTTATAGGGCTACTTACACTGTGGTAAGCCAACGCCACCTGGAACACAAGTGAGTTCCAAGTGTCCACTATGTACACATCTTTCCGATTCTTTGCCAATTGCATGTGGAGTCCCGCAGGGATCGATTTTAGGACATATTCTGTTCCTATTATACGTAAACGATATGTCCTCGACGATTAGAAACGGAAGAACAGTTCTCTTTACGAATAATACGAATATGTTTTGCAATAAAGAAATCGTAAGTAGTACAATATCAGATATTTCAAATTGGTTCCGTAATAACAAATTAATTGTAAATGAAAAGGAAACGATTTCAATGCAGTTTTCCATTCCAAATAAACAGTTCTGTACTCTTTTGAAAATGGACGGTGTGCAATTGACTGATATTAAGGTAACAACATTTTAGGTCTTTCAATTCAGTCAAACCTTAAATGGAACGTCCACGTAAATGAATTGAAGGCTGAATTCTTTCAAATTCAGTCAGCCTTCATACTGCTCGTTGTGTATATTTCGCGAATGTTCATTCCCGCCTGAGATTCAGCATAATATTGTTATTAATAATAATATATTTGTCAAATAAATACAACATACGCCATAAAAACGCATATTTCCCGCCGCATTTTAACAGATATTTCTAAAAATTAAATACAAGTCATAAATTAAATTCTCGAATTAAATACAATATCATGGAAAGCTAATTAATTTTATACATGGTAGTGAAAGAAGACTTGAGTAAAAAGTCAATAATAATAAAAAATGCAGTTCTTCATAAATTTGTGCTTAGGCTGGACCCGTCCTTTATATCCAAAAACCAGTTTAGGGGGGTTTGAAAACATGCAACAGAAAATGCAAAAATTAGTATATTGACGTGTTTATGATGCATGTACTGTAGAATGTGTGGTTTAACAGGAAAACCTTCAGTTTATTTTTGAATGTGTGTATCGAGTTTAAGCTTTTAAATTCACTAGGAAGTTTATGACATAGTGTAATGTCTTCTATAAGGGTACTTTTTTGAAAGAGTGAAGTTTCACTGTGTGGAACATGCAGATTTCGTTTTTGTCTAGTATCATAGTTATGAACTTCTGTGATCAGAATAACAGAATCCTTGTTTCCAACAAGTGTTTTCTTTGTGAAGATTAATATTTCAAATATGTACATACATGGGAGTGGTAGAATTTGTAATTTTTTGAACAGTGGTTTGCAGGATTCATGTCTGTGAGTGTTTGTCATTGTTCTCAATGTTCGTTTTTGGATGATGAAAGTGTCAATACTTTCTGGGGAATTTCCCCAGAATATTATTCCGTATTTTACGTGCGAGTGAACATTTGCAAACTACACCATTCGCAGGGTATTTTGGGTAAATACATCGTATTGCTCCCAGACTTAGATTACAAAAAAGAATTGTACGAATAATAAGCAAAATCCATCCACGGGATTCTTGTTAGTCACTGTTTATTAATGTAGATATTTTACCATTACATTGTCTCTTGGTATTCGAATCAGTGGTTTTTGTCAAAAATTACTTACTTATGGACGGGAATATATTTTCAGCAAACGCCGATTTCTAAAACTACAACACTCGACGTAGTAGTTGTATTCATCAGGTGACTGTATCAACAGCTCACTACAAAAACATCACAGAAAAAAGAAGAAAAAACTGGTCAAAACTTGCCACCTCCTACTCACCATTTCAAGTTTTAAATATAGAATGTACTAATATTATTAAATTTTATGTAGTTGCTGACAGAATTGATATGTATTGTTTATTATTATTATTATTATTATTATTATTATTATTATTATTATTAACAAGTATTGTAGTAAAGCTTCTGGGTCAATGACCCCCATCTCGATCACGTTTTCGTCCAGTGTCCTTGATTCGTGAGCAAATGCTGAGGTGGCCCCTTGTGTTGCTTCTGGACATAAATGTAATTTCAAATTAACCTCTCATTACACACAGTTTCTAACTGGTTTTTCCTTAAATAAATAAATAAATAAGGTGGTTTTTGGTAAGGGCACTTGCATAGACGACTACTATATTTGTAAGTAATATGTTGTAATATGAAAGTAATATGTGTATGAAGTTGCTGATGCGTTAATCGTAAACCAGGCCCCCCATGATAACCCTCATCAATCGACGCTCTTTAATTTCACATCAGCTTCATTGTGGAATCTTCCGTTAGTTGGTCACGAAAACACGGTCGCACAAAATGAGTATCTATATAATAATAATAATAAATCTGTTTATTACGTAAGAAAATCCATTGTGCCCCATGTCTGATAAATGATTGGCTGGATCTGCCCGTCGCAACGTCAAATTTATTTTAGAAACATGAGAAATTTTCTTAAATATTTAGATTTGCCCGTGTTTCTGTGAAAGCGGGTCATATATAAACTGTTTTGTAACTTGTTTTAAGCTGGCCCTCTTGAAGATGATCAATAAATTATCCTGGGCGATATCTCAACGAAGTATGAGAGATGATCAGGACATGAACGACCAGTTACGAATTCAATTTCAGATTACATTCCTTATAGATTTGACTCTTTCTATTTATTTTCATTAAAAAAACAGTAAAAGCTGTTACATATAGGAGTGAGGTATCCATACCATGCCCCCCCCCAAACCTATAGTTTTTGTTTGTTAACTTCCTTTCTTTGACAGAAAATTGATTTAAATATGTATTTATGGAATGGAAGTTATTGTGTAATTATTTAAACAATAATATTGTATAGTACCATATATACGCTACAAAAACAATATACAACATAATAATAACAAATATGTTTATTATCGGACAAAAATCTATGATGGCCCCTCCAAAATGATCTGCTGGATCCACTCCTGCATTTGTATCCGCGCACGTTTTCTAGAGTTCCAGAATACCTTCCCCAGCCTTTTACAATAATACTTGGTTAAATAATGAATAAAACCTAGGTAGCACCATTCGAAATCCAGCCATTTTCACTTCTGAATAATAGAAAATATTTGCATCGGTAAATGTGCTTCCATGGTGGAAATAGCACCATAAATATTTCCACCATGCGTGGATCGTGATTGAATTGCCTGACAGTAGCTGAAAACCTGTCGCTTTATCTGCGTGCATACGAGCAGAGAACCGCGACGAACCGGCCTTGCGTTGCGTGGGAGATCGCCGTCGAACCGTGTGTTGTGCTGCCTCATAATAGGTGAGGACTTTGATCTACGCTTTTGCAGGCATCACGCAGTGAATTGCATTTTCGGCTATCAATATTGTTTCAATTCACATTTTCACTTGCTTCTTTTTCTGTTCTCTGCGGTACATCATTGAAGCGTTTTTGATACCTTCATATCTGACAATCAGCTGATTGACAATGGGTAAGTGTTTGTAATTTAAGTAAATGACAGAAGCCTGTCATTCTCCAAATAACGTTTTAATATGATGTAAGTGAAATTAGAAATTATTCTCTTGGCGTTTAATTTTAAATAAATTGTTTTATTGACCATTTCTCGGCATAGGCTCGGACGGGAGCGGCAGCAGCACAAGTGCAACAAGATATTCTGAAGTAAGTGAAATTTTATTAACCTGTCGCCAAATTCAATTTGAAAATATTAAAAAATATAAAAGTGCCACTTCCTTTCATCCATCCAAACATTTTAGATTCACTTGTGTGTTTTAGATACTTGGGACCGCAAGAAAAGCATTTCTGCAAGGAAAACCAAAGTCTGTAGAATTTCGGAAGAAACAACTTAGGCAATTACACAAATTATATGAAGAAAATGAAGATGCTCTGGTGGCAGCTCTTGCCACAGATTTACGAAAGGTATTGATCATGTAATGTGCCTTAACCAGCAAGTGTAATAGAGTAGTAAATACTATTTTCGTACAATATCAAATTAAAATTCTACTGGAGCAGAATTTTAAAAGAATTCTACTGTAGCAGGTTAAAAATATTTATTAGTACTCCTATTGCTAGTTTTTTGTCAGTTTCATCAGTGATGGAAGGGTGATTTAGTGTTTTAAACTTTCTTTTAATTCTCATCTATTCCATTTTTTGAAGTACTTAACAGTTCTTTGTTATATTGATTCTGCTAGTTTCCAGAATTTCAGGAAATATTATTTCATGGCTTGATTACCTTTCCTCTATGTGCTTGATTCATAGGTTTAAATGAGATTGTTTTTCATTACCTCAAAGCTGGGCAATTTTAAACAACTTAAGGGAACTTGGGCAAAGCAGCACAGCGGAGCCCATAACTGTTTTTGAAATAAAAAATTCTGTTGATGATGTCGATATGTTTTTCATACATTTTTTAATTAACTTCTATTCTATATGAGAAACGTTAAAATTATATGTTTAATTTTTCTCATCTATTGAAACAAAAAAGTTGGTAAAGAGTCCAAAATAAAGTTTATGTAATTCTGGAAATGAATTATACATAAACCATAATTAACATCCAAGATTTTGTGAAGCAAATGCTACTCTAGTCACTTTCGTGAGTATAAAGGTACTGAAAACTTGTATTTTCATGCATGTGAGATGGGGAAAATTAAATATAATTCCATCTTAACAGTTACTAACATTTGAAAACACATCTATTCCTTTTATATATTTTTATTACTTAAATATATGGATCCTAAATATATCCATCTTAAGTGAGAATTCCAATTCTTGGAATGATGAGCGTAGCAGTTTTTGATGAGAGTGAATGATGAGAATGAATGATGAGAGTGACACAAGTGCGAAATCCTCATTTTTCAGCTAAAAGCTGATAAGAGGTTACCAAGAGGTACTGCTACTATTCTGAAGTTGATTTTAATAGTTCAAATACTGTCAGCTGGTGAATATTTGGTAGAATCTGTAATGAGTATTACAGAACTACGAAACGTAAAATTGTAATGTCTGAGAAATCAGAAATTCACACTTGTCACTTTTCTATGGAGGTGAAATATGTAATCTCAGTCTTGTGTGGTCTCATTCATTGCTCATGTATTTAGGGCATGTTTATAAACTGTTTGGAAGTTTTTGAACTCCATTATTTATCTTGATCTTTTCATAAAGTGCTTTATCGTAGAGATTCTTAATTTTCTTCCTCTCTGTTTTTATTCTAGAGCAGGCATGAAGCATTTTGTTGCAGAAATCTGTTATGCCAAAAAATGATGTTGCCAATACCTTGATGCATTTAAAGGAATGGGTTGCTCCCGAAAAAGTAAGGATTTGAGCTGTTTAATTTTATGTTTTGAAGATTGAAAAAAATGTAAATATCTAACCTTTCTTACACCTTCTAAAGGAATCATGTTTCTTCTTGATGATGTATCCATTTACAAAGAACCTTATTGGAGTAGCACTTGTTATGGGTGCTTGGAATTATCCCATTTTGTGGCACTTATTCCCTTTGCTGGAGCTATTGCTGCGGGAAATTGTGTTTGTTTTGAAGCCATCTGAAGTATCTGCTGCAAACTGCTAAAGTTTTGGCTGATTTAATTCCTAAATACTTGGACAAGGTATATTTGCAACATTTGTATTACTTCTCAATAATTGGAAGCTTCTTCAAAATATATGTTACATTTTTTATCTTTTAAGAGAAAGCAGTGAGAGTGCACATCTACATTACTATTTTCCAATGCACACAAGATATTGAAAGAAAACTTGCAGACATGGATGAGAGGTGTCTATGATTTTGTTAAATTCCCAAGTACTTTTGGAAATCCGAAAACAATGAAACAGTTTTTATTTGGACTGGAAAGTGTAAAATATCAGATTGTGATATTCCACATTTTTTTATAGTGTGTGTACTGACTGACTTTTCATACTCGTAGGTGCTGCTATTGTCCCAGTTCATGTCCTGTGACCATTGGCTTCGCTTTTGAATTGTTTGCTATGGAACAACTCTTTTTAGATGTTTTTGTTAGTACAGAACTGTTATACGTGTGTGTACTGTGTAAGTGTATATACCATACTATATGGCAGTATTCATGTAGACTATTTTTGTTGAAATATTTAATTTATTAGTGCTATATAGGGTTATTTGTTGCACTTGAGCAGAGAGTGTGCTCCTTTTTGGAAAACATTTATGTGTTTTGGTTCAGTAGTGTTTGTGCTGCTGCAGTCCACTAGTATTGTATTAATTATATTACAACAATTCATTTTCGCTGAGAAAATGAATGATTGAATAAGTCTTCATCTTGCCAATTATGTTTGAGGTCCTACACTGCTATGTCGGGACCATATCATATAAATCTAGAAACAAAGTATATTTCTCTCTTTACCACAATTTTGTAGAGGAATTTTTTAATCAAAAAAACATATTAATTGAAATTTAGAACTAGGATGTTGATGGAACTAGGAAGCTAGGAACTAGAAACATTGGATGGAACTGTCAGGTTTGACTGGTGATGAAATAAACTATTTGTTACAATACTTTTCAGGAAACTCACATTTTTAATTTATTATTATTATTATTAGGATGGATTTTAATGAAATGTCTTTTTTCTTTTCACTTTAGAACAATGCCTTTAAGCATATACCTTAGTTTGTTATGACAAAAGGGTATGACCCATTTTTATATGACATTTTTTGCATTTTTTTGATTTTGTCTAATAAGACATTTTAAAGCATTTTTCACTGATTCATGAATTTTCATATTTTAATGATGCTTCAGTTGTTATTTACAAGATGCAACAAAATGTTCTTCACAAGATTCTAGAGTAGCCTGTACGATTTCTTCGCTCAGAAATTGTAATCTCTGCCGTTGTGAGAAGTAATCTCACATTCCTGTAACCTCCTATCAGCACCATTGTAGGATCAGCAATTTCGCAATAACTAAAGACACATTTCCAGTTAATGAACAGTCCAAATCCAGTTTCCACCCAAGTTCACGTGAACAAAAGGAAGAAGCATGGCTACATTGAAATGTAACCAATCACCATTCACTTGAACTGATTTTAAACAATTTTTTTCAGTCATTTTTCATGTGTTTTAGGGTATTTTAAAAATCTTTAAGACATGTTATTAATCATTTTTGACAATGTTTAGGTCATCAAAATACCACTCTTTTAATTATTATTATTATTTATTATTATATATTATTATTATTATTATTGCCGATCGGTGGCCAAGATCGCTAAGCCAGTAGTGCCATAGCGATCTCGTACGAAAGATCGCGGGTTCGAGTCCCGCCTCGGGCATGGTTTATTGTGTTCGCCTTTCACCCCCTATCATCCATCATCCTCCATCTCTCATTATCACCTTCTGAATTAACACTCAGAATTATAACTCGAGATTTATCCTCACCTCAGTGACCACCTTCGATAGTCGACCATGACAAAAGTGAAGTGGAACAACTCAAGTGGTCAATGTGGCCAATCAAGTTAAAAAAATTATATTATTATTTATTATATTATTATATTATTATTATATTAATTATTATTATTATTATTATTATTATTATTATTATTTTGTATTAATGTTTATTATTTGTAATCTAACGCCATTTTCTTATGGTATTGTAAATAATGACTTTTTATTCATCATTCATGCATTCGAATATACTAGAGTAAAAGAAAGTACCATTGTATAAAAGTAATAACTAGAGCAAGACTAAATGCATACACAATAAGCTATTGTTCTCGCTAGCTTGTTTTTGCAGTCTTGGAGGGCAAGCACATCTTCCTTATTTATTTATAATAGGTAAAGTCAGCAGGTGTACACCCAGCTACAGGCTCACAAATACAAAAAATTACTCTACTTTGTAATGGTGGTTACATATTTCTTCACAGAATGACAAATGGAGGAAATAGTGTCTGCAAATAAATGGATCTCATCAGTGCAACTGACTGCAAATTTATTAACATTATCTATAATTTTATATAGAGGAGAGTTTATGATAACTGTAAACTTATTTGTAGAAGTGAAGTTATACAGAGGCTTATTAAGAGCATGGCACATGCCATGGAAATAACAGTATTACTTGTGAAATATATACATAGGTCACTGTCAAGGATCAGACTAATCAGTACTGTTCATTCTCAGCAGTATCTGCAGAGTGTGCTCTGTGCTCAGTTCTTATTATTATATTCTGCCAAGTTTTAACAGTCAACGCGAGCAGTAAATTGAATGAAGATTTTGTGGAACACTGCCTTTGGTGCATTAGTGTCACCAATTGCTTTTGAAATTTTAAGATCAGAAACAAAAAAAATATATATTTTTAAAAAAATATGTGAAATTAATACAAACTGTTGCACTTCCACAGGATTTGTAAATCATAGATATGACAAAAACCCACTGAACTATGAAATTGTTTCCTTTTCGTGTTTTAATTCTTCGGTATGTTTCTAATTTTTGTTGTACATCTTTATTCTTCTGCGTCAGGAATGTTACCATGTTGTTCTTGGAGGAGTGCCTGAAACCACAGAGTTGCTGAAAGAGAGATTTGATTACATTTTTTACACTGGGTCAACTGCAGTTGGTAAAATTGTTCGAGCGGCTGCCAATGAATATTTGACTCCTGTTACTCTAGAGCTTGGTGGCAAAAGGTGAACTTATTTTCTCACGTAATATTGAAATATGTTACTGATATCTTGAATTTGTTGTTATTAAATTGTTATTTCATTGATTTTCCTTAGTCCTGTCTTTATTGATGATACTGTTGATATGGAAATAGCAACTCGTCGAATTCTCTGGGGAAAATGCGTGAATGCTGGACAAACTTGTGTTGCACCTGATTATATTTTGTGCACCAAAGAAGTTCAAGACAAATTTGTAGAAAATGCTAAGAAGGTGTTGAGAAAATGGTATGGTGACAACTGGAAAAATTCCCCGGATTTATGTCGCATTGTGAATGACAGGCATTTCCAGTATGTATGTTTGTTAATGAGGCTATTGGTATTAACTTTCCTATTTTCTTAACTCTATGCAAATGAAAAAATGTTTGTTTAGACGTGTTATAAAACTCATTAAGAGTGGTAAAGTAGCTGTTGGAGGAGATTCTGATGCTTCTGAAAAATATATTAGTCCTACAATATTAATTGATGTGAAAGGCACTGATCCAGTAATGGCAGAAGAAATATTTGGACCAATACTTCCTATTATTAATATTCGTTCTGCATCAGAAGCTGCAAGTTTCATTACTAGCAGGTAAAAACACTTTCTTTTCGTTAAATAACTCCATAACATTGTTAATGTACAGATAATGAATGTTTTGGAAATGGGGTTTGCAGCCCAAAATATTATTAATATCATAAAATATTTTAAAAGGGCATGAATTTTTCGTAATAAAGTATCTTAATAAAGTCTTCTTTCACTTGGTTTGAAATGTCTTCTGACACTTGGTTTGAAATGCCAGTATCAAATGACAAAAACTGTTTTCAATTATGACTTGCTTCATAGATAGAGTGACCACTTTCTGGAAAGTCCGGCAAATATTTAGATGAATCTCAAGAAGTCAGGGAAATATTTGAGACAATTACAGTGAAACCTGTCTCCGGTGGTTCTGACAAAAATTAACTCAGTTACTACTAACTGGAGGTTTAAAAATATGGAAAGGGAACATCACACATTACTGATTATTTGCAATGCAATTGAGCATACATATGTTCACATCTTCTAATTTGCAATTAAACTATAAAATACTGAAAGCTTCTGTGCACCTGCGTAATTCAGCAGATCAGTTACAAATTTGTTCATTATTCCCATTTTCTTCACTCTTTTCCAGACCATTGTTTATTTTTTCCATTTGTAGGGTACCTTTTTTTTTATCTGGATCAGAAATTAATCCCCAGAGAGATGAGTAATATTTTAAGTTATCTGATTAGGTGTCCTGCTGCAGGTAGATTCAGAATCATCTATAAGGTCTTCTCATCAATTCAATTCTACCTTATTTTATGCAGTAAAGCACAGGCTCTGTTCTTCCACCTGATCATGCAAAGTCCACTATGCTTCTTTCTCCATCTAGCAGAGAAGGAAGGAATCTCTTAGTGATTTGAATTCAGCTCTCTTTTAGGCCCTAGGATCTCCTACATGCAGTAAATCTACAACATGGAGCCCGATTTACTTCCCCTGTGAAGGGAGGCATACAAAGAATTTTCTCCCATAAAAATCCATGGCTTGAAAACTCAACTTGGGTATAACATGATACCCTAGCCATTATGCAACTGAAGCCATGAAACCTTCTCTTCCCCGTCCTTTAGGTTTTTGTGCTTCAAAATCATTAATTTGTCAGGAAGTTGTAATTATTACAGGTTGAAATGTGCCTGGCTGCTGTGCCTGTCGTGGTGACTGTCGAAAAGAGGAAATTTTTACTTACGGGAAAATGAATTTGCTCTATGAAAAAATGTCTGTTAAGGGAGGTAGGCGCATAATTTAGGTAGCTGTTTCACCACGCTTTATTGTACATAACTAGGTATTATTCCTTAAAAAACATCCAGCTTTATCTTTTAGATATTAAGATGATATTCTTAATTTTGTCTTTTTTCACTGTGTTATCAGAGAGCTGACAAATTAGTAACTGGTTTTCAAGCCTCGCTTTTATTTAATATTTTCTATCAACAGTGTGTATACTTTGGAAATTTTATCTGGAAAAAATTAAAAACTGTACTGAGAAAAAGGCAAAATTAGTTCCAAGAAAAGAGTGATCACTTGGCTGAGGGTGTTTCAGGAACAGAGGAAAAAAAGTGAGTGTAAAAGAATGACTCAGTTGTTGTTTTTGTTTGGGGGGGGGCGGTTATTGAGGAATGTAGGATTTTAAATTTAGTTCATATAAAATACTGATTTTCACCATTTGGAAAAGCAAATAATTAAAATACATTCTGTACTGACAAATAAATATGTGTTTGGCATATCCAAAAACATTCCTCCCTTTCTTATTTTAAAATTTCAAACTTATATAATCATTACCAGTGACATAATTTTTTGGTAATGTTATATTTGTGGAATAAAGTAACAAATGTGTAACATGCACCAACGTTTCAAAAATAATTTTGCATTTTTCTGTAATTTTATTTTGTACTGGTGTTGCCTTTGTATTTGTTTGTGTGATTAATGTTTGCTTGTACATCAACTGCTATGGTAATTAGCTCCATTAGTGTAGTTTTTGTTTTACCCCAGGAGGCAGTGTTCTCCCCTTGCTTAATGATGAGAACCAGTGTTGACGGAGTGACCTACAAGTTGGAATGCAGGCTTGGCAAGTGCAATTACCTGAAGTCCTCGGTCACATGAGGCCTCCAAATTGTCCTGCTAGATTAATTTACTCTTTCAAGTAGCTTTCCAAATGTCTGTTCAGTAATCTTACTGTTTTTAACAATTCTGTGATGGTTGCAATTGCTAAGCAATCTTTTTCAAAATTGCAAGAGAAATTATCAAAAACTATCTGTGCAATTTGATGAGACTGGAGGACCTTAGTGTATTGCCCATAGAGAGTAAAGTGAAGAACTCATTAAAAGCAAATCTGGGTAACTTTATAGATAATCATCATCATGAACTGCAGGTGTTTAGGTATGATCCTGTACCTGTTTGTGATGGTTCAGTAGACCTAGTAGATAAATCTTCTTGGTGTTCCTGATTTTTCCATCTCTGTATAGATTTTCCAGTGTCTCTGTTTCCTATTGTTTTGTATTTCCAGATGAGTTTTGGTAGTTCGTTACTCTCCATCTTGCAAATGTATGTGTTCTTTTCCAGCTCGTTTGTGACTCTTCAATCTCTAGATTTTTGGTTTTTTGTTTTCTTGTGGTGTCCTTGTTTCTCGACCTGTCTGTTCTCGTGATTTGTGCTGCCTGTATTTTCTGCTTGTTGCTTTTCGTCATTATCCATGTTTTTTTAACCATATAGAAGCATTGGTTTAGCTGTCATTTTTTGAAGTTTCAATTTTGTGGTAGAATCCATAGCCTTCCCAAAGTGTCTTTTAATGGTCCCACTCATTCTTAAGTAATTATGTTGTTTCCTCTCTGTCTCCTTGAGTGTGCTTTAGTATATCGATTCTGTTTCCTAGGTAAGTGAATTCTCTTACTTGCTCTACTGTTTCCTCATTTATTTCAGTTTTAACTCTTCTTTGTTCCTTTCCTTGCATTACCGTGGATTTTGTTTTTCTTGGAATATTCCTGTGTAACTTTTGGTAGTTGAAAAATTGCTGTGTACGTTGTCTTCAGATTCTGCTATTATTATCTGGTCATCTGCGTATTGGATTGCGTCGATCTTTCTATCTCCTTCCAATTCCCTGGTTCATCTTCTTCATTACAGATAAGTTCGGCAAAGTGGAAGTCTGCAGGTCTCGATTTTGAATTTTCAGATTCATTATCATTAAAGTTTCTTTCTATCAGTTTTCAGCTTGCTTTTTTTAGACAACAATTTTTGAGGAGGGGGAATTTAGTTTTTGAACAGGGGCCCTGGCTGTTGCATTTGTAGGACTGCACTGAGTGTAAGGGGAGAGGAGTAGACAAGGCTGAGGAAGGGAAGATTGTGCATGGTCTGTGGTCCCTCACCATGCATTTTATTTAATTAGATTATTGTCTATGCTTACTCCAAAGTGTATGAGTTGGTAATAATAAATTTGGTTTTTGTTGAACCTTTGAAATCTCCATTTTAACACAAAACGTACAGTGTTTTTGAAGGAGTGGTGTCTTAATTAAAAGGAAAGTTTAGTTTTGTGTAAAATATTTTGTTGGTGTTATTTGTAATGTTGGTTTCACACAAAATGACTATAATCATTCTTGCCTATTCTTAATATTATAGAGAGAAACCACTTGCGTTTTACATATTCACTGAAAATTCTGCCACAAGAAAATATTTGTTAGAAAATGTGTCCTCAGGAGGAGTTTGCTGTAATGATACTATCCTACATTTATCTGGTAAGATAAACTGTGAATTACAAATAAATTGTAATAAATTATGAATTGCAAATACCTTGTGTTATTAATGGTCTGTTTTGTATACTGTGTTTTTTAGTTGAGACACTACCATTTGGTGGAGTAGGTTACAGTGGTATGGGAGCCTACAACGGCAAATACACCTTTGATACATTTACCCACACAAAAGGTTGCTTGGCAAGAAGTATGAACCCATTGGGTGAAAAATTAGCAGCGTAAGTTACCTTGGTAAAATGTATTTATTGATGTATAAAAGCTATAAGAAAGTTTTTCCTGATCAAGCTTGGTGATTCAATTTTATACAATGAAATTTATTGAAAGAGAACTTGTTTTTTGATTCCACACATGAAGAAAGATTTTTTAAATGTTTTATTGAATTGTGTTTGGAGGTTTAGGGCTTACAAACATGGATGAAAACATCCCATGTGAAACCTATTTTTTGGGTTAATGCTTAACACATTGATTTTACTATATGTGTGATAGAATTTTTTATAAAAACAAAACATGAGTTACCTAAATGTATTATGGCTTTTTACACTTGCTCCCTCAACTACTAGTTTTTGTATATTATTTTATCATGCTTATTAGAAATTGCTTTTGAAATTAGTAATATGATGAAGAAAAGTACTTCATGAAATGATATTAATATTTTAAATGATTTGTTTTGATATTCAATGTTAAAAAATGTGTATTTAAGAAAAATGTTCACAAACTTAGTAACTTTGATGTGGATCCTGAATTGATTTCAGTTAAAGTAACTAAATTACTTACAGGCCATTTTTCCAGATGTCTTCTGAAGAGTCAGCCCCAACTGACCTCAACAAACTCCATATCTCAACCCATCACTTTCCTACCTACTTTGTCCTATTTGATGCCAGTTGTGTGTGTGTGTTCTAAACCAGAATCTCATGATATGTGATGAGCAATATCTTGATTTAAAACAGGATGCCGTATTCTAGGCACAGTGGACAAGATTTTGGCTTTCAAACTGCAACCTACCTCAGGCCCTGAGAGAGGTTGCAGAATGATAAACAAAACTGGGCCTAGAATGCAGCATCTTCTGGCCAGCCAAGTTTCAATTGACTCCGGCCACAGAAGTCATGCTTTTAATTGAGATGCCTTAATAGTATATTAAAGATTTATTCAGAAGGTCAAGACTCGGTATCATGAAACCTACTAATTACTTTTTTATTTGTGTATTTATTAAACTATGTTATGCTTATGCCTTGGACACACTCACTCATTTGATTATGATAAGTATTGATTTATAAACATTGTATTGTTAGTCTTTGAGAGGAAAATCCATTTCTTGGCTCTTCTATGAAATTCTAGTTATTATGTTAATCAATTCCTTTATGAAGGGCACGATGAGCGATATGAGTCCAAATCTGCAGCTGATTTGCCCTTGCAAATACTTTTTATTACACCAGAGAAAATATTTTCCTATCGATTCTTGCCAAAAATGCTCATTTCCTTCTTACAGAGAATTCAAATTGTGGTAAAGATCCTAAAATGAAGGAAACACGCACAGAATAAACTTCTCCCCCACAGCACATCATACATGTTTTTAACTGTGTGTGATGTAATCTAAATTTTTATATAAAGTAAATGTAAAGTAAGTGGAACTCAAAATTACACACCATGTCTCTCACTAGCCTTAGAAACTTCCTGCTAGTAGTCTGATCACCGTTCATCACATATAATCACTGTTGAATCTCATTACCATAATGTAGACCACCCTAGCCTCCTCATGTTTGACAATGTGCACTTTAATAGCCTTTGAAGTTCTTTCTTCTTTGAACTTTAACCACTTCTTTTCAATAACATTAACCAGCTAAATCAGGAATTAGCCAGTTTCAGACAAAGGCTATAACATGTACAACTAAATTTCTTTGTGCTTGACAGCTTTGCCACAGATGAGTGACAAGAGTTTCTTTGCTATTCAGCCTGTGTCATGTGCTAGTAAGTCCATGCTGCATTGTGAAAAGAATTCTGCACTATACCCTTTATGTACTTTATGAGTTGGTAGAAGTAAGGGAAAGGTCATGTTATTTATGAAACAGCTTCCTTTTTAGGATACGTCTTTTGGCATACACAGATGACTCCAAAAGCTCTAAGAAGATTGCTACAATATAGATCAATTGTTTTAGTTACGAGTCTGCTACTTAAATGGGATTTGAGATCATAACTTTTTCTTTTTCCACTCTTATTTTTGGTAGCTGACCCCTCCGTTCAATTATTGAAACAGAGCCCAAGGTTGAGCAAAGGAAACTGTTCAGTAATTTTAGCATGTCACACGTGTTGCAGTTTTTGCTTTCAGGATCTTCACATACTGATGTGTATCATAATGTTGACAATCTTGTCAGCCTTATTTTGAGAAGTGATTGTTTTGAATGTGAAATGAATGGGACTTTTATTTTCAGGGGCCGATATCCTCCATACACTGAAAAAAAAACTAAATCTTTGGTGTCTTTTATGAAGAAACGAAAGGGATTGAGTTTCCACTATTTCCCACATATCTTGATGTTTACTTTGGGTGTTCTTTCCTCCTTTGCCTTCCGATCACTTGCAAAGGTGAGGAAATATTTAAGAATTTCTGAATTACGAAGTTGTTATTTATTAGACTCAGCTAATGATGTTAATGATATCAACTTAAAACATATTTGGCCTATACGTTTTACACTAAAGTATAAGAAAATGTATCAGATGTTTATTGAACAAACGACAGAAGACTCTCATTCAAGAAACACTTTTAAATTTTATTGAAAAAATGCAATATGTAATATTGGTATTATACCATTCTGATTATAAAAATTTTGCATCAAGAATTATATTTGTTACTGTAATTTAAAAATAATCACTGATACATAAATAAAATGTTCAAATTAATAATCTCATATAAAATAAAGAAGTAATTTTTTTCCTAATCTAATAATTTGTAAATAATAGGAATTTGAAAAGAATAGAGAGGTTTGTAGACCTAAACATTTATCAATATTTTATTTTTGGTGTTTTCTGGAAGTGTTTTTCTTTACTAATTTTACTTCCATGAACTTTTTAATTTTGTAAGTGTCTAAATTTATACATTTTTTCTTAGTACAATTAAAATAAATCAAACGTATTATTGCTATTATTTTTATTTCTATTTGTGTAGTTTACATATTATTTTTAATTATTTTCATGTCTTTTTCAGAAACAGCCTGGAAAAATCCTCAATTTGGTTTTAAATTTTCCATTGAAAAAATATTTTTAAAAGATAAGTTTTGTAAGCATATATAAAATGTTAGCAAAGGAAGGCTTTGGTTCTCTAAATGTACTTTTGTTGTAAGCAAAAGGATACCTAAGGAATGCTTACATACAATCATAATGTTGACCAAAGAATGGTGACAGCAGAAAAGAAATGGTGGGCTAGACTGATTGATGAAGACTGATCGCCTGATTGAACATTGTGCTTTGTTCTTTTGTCTTCACTTGTCCAGTTTTTGCAAAATTTGTGTTTCTGCATTTCTCAATTTCATTTTGTTCTGGTGTGACATATACTATGAACTCTTATTATATTGGGTTAACTCCCACAAAGCATTTATAATTGAAAAAATTATTGTGGTTGGTGGGCTTAAGATAGTATTGGGATTGTGACTCAATTTAATCCTGTTTTCTTTGATGTCTCTGGCACCTAAAATTTAGGGAGACACCAGAGGATGTGATTTAAATGCTGAAGCTAAACCTCGTGCAAAAGAACCATTATGGCAAATGTGCCATTCAAGAAGTCTCAGAGGCTTCTCCCACACTGCAGCAGCTGTGATTTCCCCTCTCTGCAGTAAGGAGGTGCAGAGGTGACTGCAAAATCACAGTGATCGCACTGACTGTCGCTTGTCATTGCTGTCCTCATTGACAGAGAAGGAACTCTCACTGCCAGGAGTGTCCAAAGAAATTGTGAATTCATCAATGTGTTGTCCATTATATTATCTTATTACTTTATCCTTCTTCAAGACACAGCTTATTTTTTGTTGATTGTTTGGACAATCCCTACTGAAGAAACACATAAGCTGCCTGTTAGCTGATCTTTCTCACTCATCAGTTTCTTATCACCAGACTTGCAGTGTTGAATTACTGTGCGGCCCACAGACAGACCAGAGAAAGACAGAGAGAGAGAGCTATGTTGTGCAAAGAGCGCAGGCATATGGAGAAGCATTTGTAGCTTTGGAAGGGGAGGCCACGTTGAGGCATGCACAGTGGAAGGTTTTTTGATGCAGGTTGAGCTAAAGAGCCTCTGCAGAGGTTTAATGTAATTAATGTTTTGTTATTAAATTATTAAAGTTAACAAGCTACACACGAGGAATAAAAGAAAAGTCAAGTTATATTGCATCTAAATGTGTTGTCACTTCTGTGCTACGCTGTCTTTAAGTCATACATTTGCAGTTTCCAATGGAAGCTAAAAATCTATTCACATTGGTAATGTGTTTATGTCTGCTTCCAAGCATACTGCTAAGTAGATCAGCCTAGTTAAAACATTAAATAAAAGGATGGATGTACTTGAAATAATTTGAGTGAACATGACCCCTTTCCACAGACACCTGTGAACATTGCCCTTTTTTTTCACTTTCTTGTATACATACATATACTGAGTACTATGTTACATACAGTAAGTTATGTAATGCTGCGGAAAATCGATTTCAACACAAATACAAGTTTTGGGGTCCCCTTATACTGAAATAATGTTGTTTTTTCAAAATGTCTTTCCATCTGTGACTAGTGTGTAAACTACGCATAGGATTTATTTCCACTGTGAATCTGTCTGACTTAAAGTTCTGCTAATTTGAAAAACATTCTTAATGGGGGTACTTCATATAAAGTAGTTTTCAAATTTTTTCATTAAAAGCTCCAAATATTTTCTTTCAATTTCTTCTAAGAATGGAGTGAAATTTTCTCCATTTCCCCCAAAACAACTTCAAATTTTTCAATGAAAATATTCATTTAAGACCATTTTCCATAAGATCACTCTTCTGTAATATTCTTGAAGTCATATTTCTATTTTACAGTTTAGAGGATCCAAAAATGAACAAAATTGAACAAATGTCCTTCAGGCATCAATAGATAGCAGCTTAGAGGATGTTGGAACAAAGCTGAAAAGGTAGCGAGGACTAAGGAGATAAGGAAACCAACTAGTGCAATAATGTCTGTGCCATTCTAAAGCACAACTAGATATGAAATGGTTTTGGTGAGTGACACTAAACTACACACTACTTCTAATATTTGTCTGCTGTCACCATGTTTTAGTTAACACGTAGAAATTTTAAGTGCCTTTTATTCAGATGTTTGTAAGATATTTACTGGCATATTTTTCTATATATCTTTATAAATGAAAACTAGCACTTCAACATGGTTTCTTTTTGACACAATTTATGTTACTAAGAATAAAGGTTTGTGATGTGTAAGGGATAATTTTGCTTGTTACTATTTAAAATTTTTATTATTATTATCAACAACAGCAGCAACAAAAATGTGTTCAGTAAAAAAGTATTTACAGAAAACAGATTATAAACAAAAAAAAGGTAACCTGTTTTCAAAACACATTGCTTCATTGGTGCAAGGTCAAGGTTTTATTGAAGTTATTGTTGTTATTATTATTGTAAGCCAATGTAAATATACTTGTATTTTTTTAATGTTCTAAAGAAGATAAATCAGAAGTTACTTATAAAAATGAAAATGTTCATGTTTTCTTTTGTTTAATACAATACCAGGTTTTTGCTTGCGTGAAGTATTTCCTAGTATAACTCCCAAGTTATTCAATAAAAAACCCAATCAAAGGTGCATAACTTTTAATTTTAGTTCACTGTTGCTAATTACTCGGATTGAAATTTTTTTGAGACCTAAGAATACAAAAACTAAACAATCTCTTTTAAGTTTTTTCCCTTTAACATAGAGTATTCTCATGATCAACTAAGAAATTCTATGGTCTTTTAAGTAGAGTGAGCAGTATTTGCACCGTTAAAAGAAGTGAAGATTGAGTGTAGTACGTAATTCCCTATTTTGGTGGCTACAAGCAGATTACCTGACTGTGTATTTTTTATCACAATCATCTATAAAGAACCACACCTTGCTTATCCTGCCTGCACTGCTCACTCCATCAAACTCACCCACTCTGCGCACCCTATCCTGCCAACCTCAGTGCATTATGGGTTGTGTAACCCTCTTGTTTATGTCACCCATCCCATCATCTCTAGGGGATCTTACTGCCACGATTCTTTTCCCCATTGAACGTAATGTATGTACAAAGTACATTCGCACGGTTTTCACAATGTGAGTTAGGATTAGAGAACACAGAAACCCAGTAGTGTAACCGTAATTACCACCATTTTCTGATTTATTTTGTACAATTGGTAACAAGCTGAGAAATGTTTTGTTCGATTTGTTATTTACCCAAAATCAAGGGAAAAATAAGGTATTTTGGAAAACCCTTAGTTTTAGGGTTGAAAAATTCAAAATAAAATTACAAGCAATGATATCAATCATGTTATGTTTTAGTCTGATGAAAGTTAGGCTCAGTCTGAAGAAAATATTAGAAATATTAGTTTTTTCTCCCCCTTTGAAAATGTGGATTTTATATATTGCATTAATTTCAAGCACAAATTATTGCAATATGTTGCACTACCAGTTTAGTTTCTTGTAAACGTATAGGGTCACTTATAGAACCTGTGAGGCCCCTGGAATGTGGCCGTCCACACATGCATATTTTTCATGAAGTGATAAAGATATATAAATTGTATGAACATTACTACCAATAAGTAAGGGTTTTCAGTGCTGAACCAACAAAGGTGGAGGTTGTATTTTGATGCGATTTAGTATTAATAATTGAAAAACGAATGTTAGTTCCATTGAATAGACCAAGAAAAGTTGTACAAGTAAGCTTTTTTTAACAGTAAGGGAGAAGGTAGTATTATTTCCCAATTTGTGAAATACGAATGATCGTACTGTACAACGATGCTGCACAGGGTCAAACAAACCGCTATATCTCAAAAAGTATTTCAACAACTTCATAGCGCATTCAAACCGCTATATCTCAAAAGTAAAGCAACAACTTCATAGTTCCTTTCAGACATGCAGAACTCAGCATACAGAATTGCTTTTTGCTTTTCCAAAAGTTGCTTGAAATTACCATTTGTATAACTCCAGGTCAACATTTTTCGTCAAATGTTCAAACATTGCACTCTCTCTCAAAAACGGTATGATATATCAAAATGCGTATGAGGACATTTCTTAAAGAACGTGTTATAATCTTTCACTTAAAACAAAAAGCAAAAAGAATGGACTTGGGTTACAGAAATAATGATTTTCTGCAATCTATCATGGCATTTCAAGTTAAACCCAACCTCAACATTTGATGGTACCCTGTTCTTTTACATATACTGTTTCAATTAAGAATCAAAAGAGAAAACGTGTCCGAAAGGTTTTGTGTACTTATGTGCCACCACCACTACCACTGCCTAAGCAGCGATACATATCTTTAGTAAAGCAAATGGGGCTACATCAACATTATTACAAACTAGCATTGTTACAAACTTTTGCAATTTTTGAAAATTAAGAAATTTTAATGAAAATGAGACTTGTGCCATTTGAAGAAAATTGCCTGAACAGTTTATGTGCTAGCACTGACCACAAGCAGGACAGACAAATGTTTTTCAAGCAATCAATTTTTCGAAATTAAGGGTTCACAATACCCACTTAATTCACAAACCAAAAAACGTGAATTCTGACCACATGTTAGAGGAAGTAATTTACTACACAAGAACAAGATTTATCCACTTTTTTTATTGACGGGGCCCAACAATATGAGGTCTTCCTGTCGAAAAATGATATCCACTGCTGCATTACAATAATCTCTCTGGAAATAGGCAAGAAAAACGTACTGTACATTTTAAAGCATGTGTTCATTGTATTCAATATCTTGAGGCCCCAGCAACTGCCGGGTTCACCCATATGTAAAATCAGCTCTGCATAAGAAGTGCTTAAAAAAATTTTAGCTTTTATACCAAAGATTAAGCTTAGAAAAACATTCGTTGTAAATAGATACTTACGTTTTTCAGCTTATTTGTGAAAGATATGAGAATTCAAAGTTGTGTTAATTAAAAATTTAACAGACATATTACTGATTCAAGGGATACTAAAAGTTAATGAATGTGACAATTACACAGATTTTAAGATGTCAGAGAAGTATTCAAAGCTGTTGACAAACCTAACAACTTAATTTTTTTAATTTTATCATTTTTTATTATTTTAATTTGTATTGTAGTATTAAAGTATTTACTTATTTCTATAGGAAATGAAACACTTTCGCCCACTTATTTTATGGAAGAAATTGTGTTTAATTTTCTTGGTTCAGATATTAATCAAATAATTTGAATATTTTTGTAAATTAAACAAGGAGTCTTCACAAGATTGCTTTAATTAAATGAACTTCAGTCATCATCAAAGAGCACTAGATAATTAATGATATGCATTGGTGTATTATCTGGTCATCTTTAATGTTTATGGCGTAATAATATTCTGTTGTTTGCCCAACACTGTACAGCAATCATTTAATTTCCGTATATCTTTCTCTTCTGCATCTTCCTCAACATTTTTTTAAAGGAATTTTCACAAACTTTTATACGTTGTGATTTTTTTTTTGGTTTTTCACATTCCCCAGAGTAGAGTTGTGGTTTCTTTCTGAATGCCTTTTGAAACCACAAACATACATCAGCACAAGATGATTTTTTTCGAATCTTTTTCTTGTCTTCTGACTCTGAACACTTAACTACTTTCTTCTTTGGTTTTTTAGAACATTTCTTTTTCTTCGTTTCTCTTTTCTTTTTAAACATTTCTTTACATACATTTGTTTTTGATGCTTTTTTTGGTTTAGGTGGATCGCATGGGTCTTGACCATCACACACAAATCGACAATCTCTTTTCGTGCCCGGTGGAACTTCTCCATCTTTCATGATTCCATCATCAGCACAAACATCAAGGCATGTCATTTCACAAGGCTCTACATGCTTCTTCTTCTTCATCTTCTTTTTCTTTTCAGTATACTCAGTTAATTGTTTTGTAATTTTCTGACAAAGTTTTTGTAAACTACTTTTACAACCAACATCAATCACATTATCTTTTTTCTCATCTTTCTCACACTTTGGTTTTTTACCGACAGGTAATTTATCACAGGTACCTCTGTTCTTGTCCAAAGGCTTTGATTGTTTATCCTTTGTTGTATCTTTACAGGTGGTTTGTTGTGGCTTTCTATCACATTCATTTGACTTTTCACTTTTGGAAAAACACGATTCTAAAAGTTTTGCAATCTCTTCTGGATCCCTCGTTTCTTCTTTGAAAGGGATACATTCAAGAACTTTTGCACGCTCTTCTGCATTCTTGGGATTACATTTGTCTCCTGAACTATTAGCTTTTGATTTACGTTTTTTTGCACATTGTGGATGGCCTTTTCTTTTTCTTTTACTAACCGATTTGCATTTATTTTTATCTTTGTAATCACCACTTGATGTGCTGAATGCAAGTTGATTATCTGATCTTGCTATTGAAGGTACCCTACATAGTTGTTGCCTACATTTGTGTAATTTATAAATTTCCTTTGTTTGAATGGGGGCTGGGGCTTTTACCAGCGATTTATTATGTGTATTCAAATTGTTCATAGACTTGCTAATTGTCTTCAATAGAATATTATTGTTTTTTCCCTTCAATATATTTGCTTGATGATCAATTTCCTGGGCAAATGATGGATGGATGTATTTCATTTCCATTAGTGGAGGTGGTTTTTCCATTTCAGGTAGATTCAATAGTGCATTTTTCTCTGGAATTTGAGTAATTATTTGTTTTCTTGGTGCATCTTGGTTATCCAAACATGCTTCCCGGTTTTCAATTTTTATTTTTGATGATGATCCATTCTCTCCTCTATTCTGACAAAAATTCCTCGCCTGAGATTGAATAGCACAATATATACTCTTTTTAATAATATAGGGTTTTGGAAACACATTTTTTGAAATGTTCTCTTTTGATTTTTTCAAAATGCCTACCAATGCATGCCCACATGGTTTAATGCAATGAATTTTTGTACATTGAAATGGATTTTCACATTGGTGCAGCACTCTTGGTCTCAAATCAAAAGCCACGGTTTTTTTGAAGGGCTTTTGGTGTTCTTTATCTTCAACTAAACATTTTGGTCCCGATCCAGATTTTTTCAGTATCTTACAACTCTGCAGATTTCTTTTTGCTTGTTGGAAGATTTCGTCACCACTTTCATGGTGTATTGCTCTTTTTAGTACTTTAGATTTCAGATTTACTTTTTTTAAATTTTCATTGTTTAATGATGAACCATGATAAAAATTTGGTTTTATTTGAATAAGAACATTTTTTTGAAACTGTTTGGCAACTTGATCTTTAAACAGTGCATCAGAATTGGTTCCATCTTTGCTCATATTCCTATACTGGGAGAAAAGAGTGTATAAGATACTCCATGGATGAGATTTTTTATTTGCTGTAGACTGTGGAAGTTCGTAGGCAACATTCTTGAAGCATATTCGATTTAGAAGTTCTCCCTACAACATTTTATTGGAAAAGAATTAGAGAATTGCAGTACAACAGTCAACCAAAAAAATACAATGAAATAATCTGCAATTACCATGAAAAAACATGGCTATGTTAAGTAAAGCAAACATTTTACCAAATAAACTAACTTAATAGTTGTAAATTTTAGAAAGCTTAGATAAAATAAATCTTACTTGGTAAATAATATTCACTACCCTCGCCAGCATGACGTAGAGTGGATAAAAATACTGGAAAATTTAAGATTTGGGACCATGTTCATGGTGTAGTTTAATTGACGAATTTCAAATTTTTTTGTTCCATTAATCGATGTTGGTCGTAACTAATCGAGAATCGTGTGATTATTCCATGACACAAGAATGTCAAGGAAATAATGTGGATTTTTGCACAGCGGCCAATGAGCAAGCGGCATCGCGATGCATCGTGGGATCCAGTGAACTCTATTCTACTGACAATTCGGTAACTAGGCCATACTAGTACCAGACAACTACTATGCCATTAAACACTATTCATCTATAGGGAATTGTGCACGCCTTAGCGTCAGCACTATCGATCTGCGCAGGCGCAGATGAACAAAATGGCGCGAATCTTGAACAGCGCATTTTAACTACTCAAAAGAAATTTTCCACACTTGTGTTTAATTATTGATGTGCCAGCCACACCCTGAGACAATTCTGTAACTATATGGTTGCGTAGGCTTCTGTAACGAACTGAATAACAGAGCCTCGCAAGCCGAACGGTGGCGTGGCTCCACGCAGCTCCATGGTCCCACGAGACGCGTCCTACGCGCCTGACCCACGACGATCACGTTCTCGAGCTGAACTGTCAGAAGCTCGTAATCTTATCGCAAAGCAACACAATTGTTTTCTCTTTCAAAACTGTTGCAATAGGGTGGACGCCAAGTTAATTTAATGAACATTGGAAGATCAATTAATTCTTATGCAGAGAACTATTTACTTTAGCGTCAGGATTCCTACAACAGCAGAGCTCACACTGCAAACCAATGAGAAACATCCTAACACACGTACATTTGTTTACATCAGGATTTTTCTTCGAGTGAACGGATAATAGGCCGTGCCCCCTGGATCCGCCATTGCGACTAAGCAGAGCATGTCGCCACGCCGGCCTTGCGCCCATCTTGATGTGGGTCATCGCCGACGACCCTTCCACGGGCTAACTGTGGGCGCCAACGAGCACCCACAATTAGTTTAGTTATCTATGGCTCCTATCAGTTACATCACGAGACGTCTGTTACGCCGCCTCGACGTCATAACTGCGCTAATGCCGTGCATTTATTGTACACTACCACCACGTCGTACAAATGTGTATGTTACTGTAGTACGACAAAATAAACTTGTGTGTTTGACCACCGTGTTTATTTGGAAACACAACATATATTTATTCACATTTATTTTAATATATTATATACATTCTCTGTACTCTCTGCCGCGAGATATCTTTCTCGCCGTGGCGTTCACGTAAGGTCACTTAGCGATCCCTGGAACAGACTGGATTTGAAAGGGTCATTTTCAAAAGCAAAGCAGTTTGATGGTCAATTACACGAAAACAACTAAAAACACTTCCATGAAATTAATGTATGGGTATTTGTTAATGTTTTTAATTAACATCTGCCTCGGCCTTCCTCTTAAAATGGCGACCGTAAATATTTTACATGAGGTTTGAAAGAAAACGCCATTTCCAAAACTAAGAGATATTGGACAATTTCACTGAAAACACTTCTGTAAAATTAATAACTATTATTAATTTGTTAATATTTTTTCGTTAACATCTTTTTGACCTAGTTCTTAAATAGTGACCGTTTAAAGCTTACATGAGGTTTGAAAGAAAGCCATCCAAAAGTAAGTTATCTTTGACGTGTAATTGCACAAAAATTACTAAAAACACGTCTGTGAAATTTAAAACTATTATTAAGTGAAAATGTGGTAATAGTTTTTCGTCAACAACAGTCAGCTTAGGTTTGTTCCAGCAAACAATCACGGACTATTTTACGTCCAGCTCCATTTTAAACCCAGCTGCGACAGTTATATACTCTCTGACAGTTCCAGCAGAACGCCCAACTCCCAGTCACAATCCCTGACTGCTGCTGCTGGAACGCCCAATATTAGACTGCGCATGCGCGGACTGGTTCAGGACTGTTTCGGACTGCTGCTGGAACAAACCCGAGGAGAGGTTGCCTTTTTTGAAATGGCGACCGTTTAAAATTTACATGACGAGGTTTGAAAGAAAGCGTCATTTACATTTACTAAGTCATTTTTTACGGGAAATTACACAAAAACAACTCAAAAAGTTCCATGAAATTAATAAACGTTATGTGGACATTTGTTAATGTTTTTCGTTAACAAAAGCCGCCTCGGTCTGCCTCTTTTAAAATGGGCCCCATTAAAACTTCACATGACTAGTTTTGAAAGAACGTGCCATTTCTATTAACAAAGTGATCATTGGCCAGTAATTATAAAAAAAAACATACAAACATATACACACACATATATTAATTTAACTCGCAACCCATGTCTGGAAACAGCACCTTTTGTTTTGGCAATTTGTCAATGCATGAAATACCTTTGGCATCCTTTTCATTTTTAGCGATCCCCGGCCGCATGCCCTCAGATTTCGCAGTGAGGGATTGTGGCTAATTTTAATTGGAAGAAAAAGAAAGCACTTATTCTGTCATAGTTAGTATTCTACGTACTGCAGTCACTACACTGTAGAGAGTAAACACCTGTCTCTTGGCAAGTGGAGATTGAACATTTACTCGAAGGTCAGTTTTTGTCCTTTTAAGGAAATTATATTTTATTTTTATTAATTATTAATTTACTACTTATTTATGTTTAATTGGTATTTTTATCAATTTTATTAAGGCTTTCTTATTTGCTTCATAATCAGATTCAATAATAATACATTATTGTTATAAATAATGAAGAACTTGGTGGTAATGTTTCACGAGATAACCTTCTGATTTCTCTCTGAGCCAACTTTCATTAAATAATAGTTACTTTTGCGTTGGTGTTAATAAATTGATGAACAGTCATATCTTCCTTCCACATCTTCAGTATTACTGTTCTGTTTCTTTACCATACTGGACAAAATCCCTTAAAGAGACGTTTTGGTTTCCCTCTCATGCCTCAGCTGCTCCTCCTCGCCTGCATCGCCTCCTCTGCTCTCTCGAAGTTTGTTTTTTTGGTTCCCCCTCTACATTTACCCTGGAGGGGCGGGAATTTATTTGCATTAGGAATACATAATACCTGCAGCCGATGAGGCTTTTGCAGGTTGTAAGGGCAGTATCTTAAACAAACTAACTTATGCTAACTTAAAAACTAATTACATTTCCTCTTTGGAAATTGTATGTTTTTTATTTAGTTATAATGATTTTCGGGTTAGTTCTCTATAATGTTCTTGTTTCTTCTTTTTTTTGTACATTTTCACACGCATTCATTCTTGGCTATTTACAATCACATTCATTCATTCATTCTCTCTCGAAGTGCCTGTATTTAAAGGTGGCAAAGAAACGCAGTTGCCAAATTGCCAAAACAAGAACATGTGCTCTCAGAGATGGATTTCGAGTTGTATATTGAGGTAAGCTTAGATATTGGCCTCAAAAATAAAAATTCGAGATGTCGGTCCACACCCGCGAATTTAAATGTAAAATTGCGATCGCAAGATCAGGAGTTGCAAGTTGCAATTAGTCAAGTGTTTGTGGGTTGAACCAAGTCGCTCTGTATACATAGAGGGGCTTGGCTGAGGTCAGTGGCACGTAAGTTTATCACATAGCTACATGTATGCAAATCACAAAGGTCTCGTTTTTTGAAATCGTTGCAATAGTTTTGACGCAAGTTTAATTTATCGAACGATGGAAGATAAATAAGTTATTTTTCAGGTAACTAATTACTTTAGCGTCAGAATTCCGGCAACAGCAGAGCTCATACAGCAAAACCAATCAATTATTCAAACACGTGTATTTGTTTTTACAGTTTTTCTTAGCGTGAACAGATATATGTGAACAAACCACCGCACTAGATATCTAGATATCTAGGTGGTGTTGAAAACACACGGCGAACTATGAACGGTGGATCGTGGCCAGCGAACTACGACGATGACGTGACTCGGTGTAAGATATATGTTTCTTACACGTGCCGGTGATAAACGATCGTTATAAATGGTGTTCTGTATTTACGTTCCTTTTTCGCGAATAAGTTCAATTGACTAGGTCGTTCGGGATGACTTCCTATGAAATTGCAGTATTTGGGTCCGTACTGTTGTACTTGCCACCTTTTTGAAGGATGATTGTTCCCTCGATCAATAAACAGTTGAAGACAAAATCTTGCAACGATCACTGATGACAACATTTCAAACTCATCTTCATTTGCGAGAAATAGAAACAATTTTCTTTTGTAGGCGAGAACGATCCGTTATTTTCTCCAAAATATCTTAAGAAATCACCGAAGCAGATAAAGATATATCACATGAGATACATCGAACTCCTGAGAAAGTTATAATGCAAATTATTGACAATTTGAATTGCAAATTATTGACAATGTTGCTAAGGCATGACGGGCATGACTGATTCTCCAGAGATTGGCATTGCTTCATAAAATCTAGTGGCTGATTTCGTAACTAATACCCCCACTCTATCCGCATTTCTTCAATCCATCGTTCAAGAAAGCGAGTAATATGAACATTGGATTCCTGTAAAAGAATCGATTCCAGATTCGAAAAGTTGGAGAATTCTAGAACTGAATCGAAAGAAAAGGATAGATTTCCTAAGGAATAGGGGATTTGTGGCAGTCTTAGCGTCAGCAATGTGGATCTTCTGCGCCTGCGCAGATGCACCAAAACTGTGCGAAACTTGAACTGTGCATGAACGGTAGTGCTTTAACGTTCGAGGTGGCACAAACTCCGTAGTGGAATCAAAAAGGGAGTTTGTGCCATCTCAAATGTTAAAGCACTATCGATGTTCTGCTCATGCGCAAGTGTCGCACAATTTTAGTGCATTTACACACACTCAGAAGACCGATAGTGCTTTAACGTTCAAGAGCAACTACAATATCTCGTAGTTGTAACGTTCGAGGTGGCACAAACTCACCGAGAACACTGTTCAACGAAGGTATCGGTACCGAAATCGAGCAATTACTATTTAATAAAACAACCGGGTGTTAATTCATTAAATTTTAATAACAATAACAATTATCTACGTGGCTGAAAAGTATCATTGATGAAATAATACAATTGAAATAAAAAATTGAATGTATCAATGAAACAATATATTAATAGAACATAAATGAAAAATAAATTATATCTTCAAGAATAGTATGAACTAATGATTTCAAGAAACACTTCACACATCGCGATCGAGAGATGAGTTTAAATGTAATTTGAACAAAAAGGTTTGGATTGAACGAAGCGAAAGGTGGAGACATGGTCGGAGGAATTCATTCAGTCAAAAGCAGTAAAAACTGTATGTGATGCAGGTGGGAGAAGATTATCTGCGCACATTTTCTTGAGTTCCAGAATCCCTTCCTGTCATTTTAACTATAAATAGTTGAAAGATGAGTAAAAGTTTAATATAAATTTTAAAAATAAATTATAAAAATCGCAAGATTAGCAATATTTGAAAAATAGTCATTTTTGTTTCCGAGTTATAGAAAACTTTTTGCATCGGTACACGAATTGCAAGTATGATTTTTTTGCATTGCTAACAAAATAGCACCTCGCCCTTACCTCTACTCTTATTATTACAAGCAAACGGTGAGTTCAACAAAACGTGCGCATAGTGAAGCTATATTTAGAGGTAGAATTCAATCACGACATAGTCTTCTATAAAATTAATAATAAAGTAATAACTACATTAATAATAAAGGCAAACGCCCAAAAACTCTAAAAAAAATAGTAAATGCGCAGGAATATGTGTATTAAAAAAAATCAAAGTTATTAGGGAGACTGTGCCACCTCGAACGTAAAGCACTATCGATCTTCTGCGCATGCACAAATGCACGTTGTGCGAAATTTTAACTGCGCATAAGCAGAAGATCGACAGTGTGATCGACAACGTTCGAGGTGGCACGTATTCCCTATTCATTTGATTCGATTGCAGCCTTTTGGAATCGGTTCCATCAAGAATCGGAAGAAAGGAATCGATTACCAATTTCACAGGAATCGATTCCGAAATCGAATCGGAACGTCCCAAGTTACGTGCATTTGTTTCTGCATGCTGCTCCCAGCTAAATATTTTGCTCCGGGCTATTTAAAATGAATAATAAATGATTTTCTTTACTCATTTCGATGAGTGATATGAGTGACTTGTGTTCCCGTGAAAGGCAAATGAGTGTACTTAGCATGTTTGAGTCGGCAAATTAATGTACTGACTTTTATGGTTATTCAAGATGCCCACTGTAATAGTTGTTGACGTTTCCTTGTCTATGACTAGACCGGTGCCTGTGCCTGATTCCGTAGAAACTTACTCAAGACTGAATTTGGCAATACATGGAGTCAATTCTTTGTTGGATTACTTGGCTCTGCACTCGAAACTTGAATTTGTTGCATTGGTAACTAATGATTTTTTTTTTTTTATTTTTACCTTGTGTTAGCGCATTCTGTAACTTAAGTTCTCTCATTTCTTTTCCAGATTGCATTCTCCTCCCTCTATGAAATTGTGTCTCCATTTACTCGCGATTTCGATGCATTGAAATCAAAACTTCAACAATTAGAAGAATATGATAAAACTTGCGTTGAGTCAGCCTTAGTTGGAGTTAATAGACTTGTTTTGGGGGAATGGGGGAGTGCTACTCCTTGTCAGGTATGAGTTTGACAGTGTGGAATTGGATAGTACACTTAGGTAAAATGAAGTTCGTAATATTAATAATTCTTCTTGTATTTTAGGTTGTGTTGATCACTGATGGTAGTGTAGGTGTAGGGCCTATGTCATTAAAACATTCTCTCAACACCCTGAATCGACGTGATCCAAGTAACCCCTTTCCACTTCCGTTTTCCTTTCCTTGTAAACTAAGTGTTATGTGTATTTCTCCTCCTGACGACAGTGGCTTATTGCTTGGCTTACCATACTATCATAAATTAGTTGAATTAGCTGGATTGGATAGTTCAGTCCATATCCCAGAAGGCATGCTTACAGTGAAAAGTGTTCAAACGATGTTCTCCAAATTAGCAGAAGCTAATTTTGCATCGTTTACTGGAACGTTGAAATGTGGGAATCTTGGTTCAAGAATAATTTTATACCCAGCACCCCAAGTAAGTATCATTTTGGTACTGAAGATAATTTTGGATGTATATAAAGGAAGTCTTGTTTGGAGTATATAATAGTACAGATGGCAAGTTCTGAAAAATGAGGGTACCCAGTGAAAAATCATAAAAATTTTTTCTTTGGGTATTTGTATGTATCCAAACACTAGTTAAAACCCCAAATTTTTTCCTCCCACATCCTGTGGTAACTCCTAGGGTGCCCAAAAAAACTATTTGTTTGAATGGTTCAAATAAATTTTAAAGAGGATAAATTTTCCTTCAGCGTTTGTATAAAACATTTCTTCTAAAACAATTATCAAGTGAAATACAGCTATTCAAACAAAAAAGCTGATTTTCGTTTCTCCAAAAAATGCACATTTACAATGTTATACCAACTTATAATAAATATAACTATTATTACAGTCGATGGCCAAATTATTAGTACTTATATTTATTTAACTTATAGTTTATATTGTTTTATGAGGAAAACATTTGGTTTTGATAAGATTTGTAGTATTGCTTTTATCATTAATATTGTTTTTGAAGTTGCAACACTAGATGGCTGCATTATTTAAGAGAGGTGATGTTAATTCTCATTCAGTTGAAATTTATTGAAAGTTGCTGATGTAGTAAGAAGATACAATTTATTTTCATTTTAGTTTACTATGTAACATCACAATCTTGAAATTTTTTATTTTCTTCTTTCTCCGAAGAAAATGAGAGAAATACAAACACTATAACTTCATTTCACACATTCACAGAGAGATATAACAACTATTGCAAGTGTTTTGAAAACTGTTGTTAACAGAATAAAAATAAAAATTGATTGGAACAAATCCCTAGAAGCAAGCCATGTGTATAAATGTGGCAAGGAAAAGATCACCAGTCTTTGTACCTATGGTTGAATCTGAGATATCTATTTCAAAAATCGTCAGAAGAGTGTATCCCATCTATGATGATAAATGGAGTTGGGACATTTGATTCTTGCAACTTTTGAAGACTGTTAAACAAAATATTTTTAAAATTTATTTCTTTGTTTGAATGTGGTACAATACAAAGATGTTACAATACAGTAAAATCTGTTTAAATCGAAACGTGTACAAGCCGAAAACCTATCTTCACTGGAAAGTTTCTCCAGCCCGTGAAGTAAAATGTAATTTTATATAGCATAAAGTGGAACCTCTCCAACTTGGAAACGAAACTGTTTTTAATGTCCTACAGGATAATAAAATCATTATAAAACGGAATTCCTGTGATTTTACTGCAGTTGACTGAGAGATGTGAGATGTTAATGAAACAAATGCATCTGAAAGTATGTTCTAAATACTCTATTTCTGTGATATGCAATTTAGTTGTGGCAGCCGGTCATTGAAGGAGAGGGACTTCAAAGTAGAATTCGACCTTGGGGCAACGTGTCTCTGAAAACTTAGGCCACAGGATAATTCCCTCTCTCCCGACTCTGAGCATGGGAAGCTGTACAGGCATGGCTTCAATTCACACGTCTCCCTGCCCCGCACTGCAAATCATAACCCCTCGACCACATGTGCATTGCTCAAGGCCATGCAAGGGTATCAGAAAGTCATAGTGCTGGTTTGTGACGCATTGTAATTTTAAAGAGTCTGCAAGCATTCCGCAGACATCCTGTAAGGTGTGTATTTTTCAACTTCAAAGCAATGAAGAGTGTTTATTGGTGATTTCTTCCTTAAATAGGTTATATGTTAATGTATTTTTATAATTTTAATAATGTTGTGTAATTGCCTACTTTCAGGGCAGATAGGTGAATAACACAAGTGTCATAAAATGGACAACCTTGCATAAAACGGAAACCTCCCTAAATCAGAATTTTTTTGTGTCCCAATAGATTCTGGCTTAGGCAGATTTTACTGTATTATATTCTGATGATCATGCAAATTGAGCCTCAAAATGTCGCATTGTTTTCAAATGGATATTAACTACAATATTTTCATTGAAGAATCTGTTTGTCCTATGATTGCAGGACTGAGGGGTAATACCCTACACAGTTCTAGCACACTTATGGAATTTTAACATTGGTACTATATTGTTAACATTTCTTATTGTATTAAGTGTAAAGGTAAATTATATATTGAAAATAAAATGTGACAATATTTATTTTATAGACATTTCGGTAGCAGATACAAAAGTGAATGATTGGGAAGTTCCTATGATTTATCGTCTTCAGTTAGTATTTTTTTTATTCAGAAACTTACATTTAAAATGTATATCAGCCAATAATTACAATCTTAAGTCATGCTTTCACTGTATACTTCTTTTGAAGTTTACTTAATACACATTTAACAAAAAACCATGTATTCAAAAATGCTATTATTTTAATAACAATGACAGGAATGTTGATGAAGATTGACATTGAGCCTGAAAATAAATGAGCGTAAAGGCCTATGGTTGTCAGGTGGAGTAGGTTCTCTGTGAATTTGCTATCCACTATCCCTGTAATATCCCTGATGTTCTCTGTGGCTGCTCACATCCTCTTATAAACTGTTTTTGGAATTGTGGTTTCTCATCTTGACATCTCTTCAGTACTTTCTTTGACATGCTAGTTTTAATAACTTTACTTTATTGACTAATTAATGAGATAAATGTTAACTTTTCAGCCATTCACTAAAACTAGTGACTTCGAGTCAATTAAAAAAAGCATCTCGGATACAATTGAAGTTTGTGGGTTTCTGGACGTTGCGGATGTAGGGAGTCCCATGGCAGTATCTCGTCATCTTGTTTTACCTCATTCTTCTGGGAAAATTGAAGGTAATGTCTTAGTGTCTTTTTTAATGCTTTCAGTTGTAATAATTTATTATTTTGATTGTGAACTTTTCATTCAGTGTGTCATATTCTGAAACTTTCTTTGTATGGAGGGCTGGAAGGAGATAAATCGTGCTTTTAGCAATAAACTCTTATGAGAGTGTACATTGAAGGCAGTATTTGTTGTTTGGTGATTGGGGGAAAAGGTATGTCGAGTCTTGTTCCTTCAAAGAAGAGAGGAAAATAATCTTCTTTTGGACTTTGTGATATACCAAAAAATAGTTTTTGGTGGGAAAAGTGAAATATTTCTAAATACAGAATACAAGAGACTGTTGACTTGTAGAATGTTAAAGGGTTTAAGAGGAAATAGAAAATTATTTTTCTGTTTATTAATAAAACATGTAAACAAATTGAAAGAACTCCAATGGGAGGGGGGGCGGGGAGTGGTACTTTAGTAGAAATAGTGATACGAAACCCAGAATTGAGTATTTTAGATAATTCGGATTTTGTTCTAGGAATCATTTTGCACAAAAGATATGTAGATGCTGTTCTGATGATAGTGCAAAGAAACAGAATTGAACTCCTAACCAGATTTAATACCTATAGCCAAAGGATAAAAGTTACAGTTAAATTGGAAGACAATTCACAGATCAATTTTCTTGACATTATGGTTACCTTGGGGATATTATTGAAAATATCGATGAAACCATCAACAGCTGATATCTGCCAGGGGCAGAGTACCATATTGCAGTATACATTGAGATTTAGGCTTAAATTTTATTTTCCAGAGGTTGGTGTTACCTCAAAAACTCTAATGGCAGATTTTGTAACTAAAACTCACTCATTTTCTGCATTTCTCCAAGCCATCAGTCAAGAAAGTTGTGTGTATATTACTAGATATTAGAACTTTAAGGCATGTAGGAGGGTTAAAAATAACACTTTTTGCCAATGGAAATGTAGTGGGTAGTTTCATAACACGGAGTTACACTTGACATTTTTCGGTTGTTAACCAACTCCTTATGCTCAGATGTTGGAGAAGTAAATGAAATCCCTTTGAGTTTGTCAGATCGCCAAACACTACTATCTAAAAGTGAGGGGCAAATGACACACATGTAACTATGTTTTGCAAGATTTTCCCTCCATAATTCATTGATAGAATTACGGTGATCATTTTTGACCCCTCTACTAGTACTTTGTAACATTTATTTTGAGGCATCGTGTAATGGTGTATTAACACACAAGACAAACAAAAATGATCATTTGGATGTTTTTTAACTTGTAAAATGATACTCCTTCCACAATGCTATTTTTACAGCTGCAACAATGAAATATTACTGACATACATTTATTACATTAACATTCATATTGTATTGATGTTTCATGAACATTGTACATTAACCTTTCAACTGGAAGCACCATGTTGGGTGTGGTAGCATTCGCAATGGGGATGAAGAAGGGCTGTGTGTGACAGGAAATTGGAAGTAATTACATGGATGTGCTTGTTTGTGAATACTCCCTCTCCACGCAATGGTATCTTCAGATATGCATGAATAGAGGTGAAAGGCACATCTTGGCACAAGGGAGCATCCTAGGTTGAAGCATTAAGATTGTTTTAATTGTTCTTTAATGTGTGCACTGTTATTTCATTCCACAGGGTTTTCCCCAACAGGAGTGAAAGTAGATATGGATTCAGAGGAAGATTCAGTTTTGGATGACGGCAGGATGGCTTCCTTTTGTGTTCTACTTCATGGAGCATTGAAAGTTGAGAATATGGCAGCACTGTGCTTGCTGGCAGAAGATTGGTTTGGAGTGATCTATTCATGGGCAGATAGCAAAAAGAAATCCAACTTGATGTTAACTGTTTTGGAACCAGGTTCTGGAGCAGTGCCTTGGCTAGGAGATATAATGAAATTAACATCTGTTGAGGACTTCATGGCCAATAATCATGATAATGATCCAGTACCAGCATTCCCAGTGCGGCCTAGTGAAAAGAGAAGTTACTCTCAGAATTGTGTGGTTTGGATACGTCAAGCTGGTTTGCAATCGGATATTCAAAAGATTTTGAGACATGCTCGGAAATTGCCAGAAAAAACACAACAATTTTACAAGGTAATTCACGGTAATTATGACTGCAACTTGGAATATCTATATAGAACAGCATTATATACCTTTAATGTACATTAAATACCTTTAATACCTTATATTAGAGATACTCTATTTACCAACCACTTTGTTATATTTACACAATTTAGTTTTTGATTCAGTTATATAACAACTCTGTTATTAATGATTAACAAGTAACATCCTTGTGTAGCACTGAAATCCCACACATTCTAAATAGCACCTGCAACCTTTCTTTAAAACTGGATTTTCTGTTGAAAAGAATTCACAAGCTTTGCCTCACTTACCTGGACAGTTTAGCTTTAAATTTTTGTATGTTGTTTTTGATAATATTTATCAGGAAATCTTTAGAATCCTTTTAAAAATCAATGCAACTTATTGGTTGAAATAATTATTTGTATGATTATTTCTCAATTTTTATGCCTTTAAATTCACATCGTAACCTTCAGTTTGTAACTTCATATCTATGGAAAATATGAATTTCTTATTGAGGCGATTTATTCTCTTAGCCATAAATGTTGTCTTGCATGACTTAATATCTTAAATTCTGTTTTCCTTGCCAAACTCATAAACATCATATTTGTCTGAAAAGAATTCAATGAAAAGTGTATACAGCATCATCTTCTCTAAATATAATACACCAAGGTTAGGTGATGATATTTGATGAGAACGATCATCACAAAATCCTGTAATTGTACTCTTGCTGGATTGGGAATGAATCCCCAGACTTGCATCAAACAGATTTAAAATGAAAATAGTTTACATAGTATGTCATAGGGAGCAGATTACTGCAACACTCATTTCAAATGAGCGTAACTCGGAAACAATGTGCTTAAGGCCTGTAAAACCAGGTTTTGGCTTTCGTGAAGGAACTGAATTTTGTAGGCACAGCTGAGTTTTCTGAGAATACAAATTTTGGGTTATGTGTGGGAGCCAGGTGGGATATTTTTGGAAAAAATCTGGTGAACATCAAACAATCTCAAATTAAAATGAAACAAATCGTATTATTAAAAAATATTAATTAAAAGTTGCATCATAAATTTTTCTTCTATCTTTTCATTCCTTAATGTTTTATAAATTGTTATTAAACTTCTGACATGTCATTAACAGCAAAAGAAGCATTTTGTTTCTGGTTTTTTCATGTTCTCCGCCCCTTAACCCTTTTTAACAGCTCCTTGCTTTTGGCATTCTGCCTGCATGTGCCCTTCCATTGGCCACCTCTTAATACTCCCAACTGGCTTGCAGGCAGGTCATGGACCTATCTTCTCTTGCTTCCTCCTTTGGGAACTTTAATAGATTTTTGTGACATGTTTCTAGAGGCTATTAAATCTTGATTACCGTTCAGATTCATGTACCAGTTTTAATTACTTTGTTGTTTGTTCGTGATTCTTCTCATAATAAAAATAACAACAATAATAATGATAATAATATTAATTTTGTCAAAGAATTGTCTTAATGTGTGACTAGTCATTTTTCATTAGCAGTTCATTATTTTACAATCATTCTTATACATTATTTTGAACACACTTATTACTTATATAGCATCGAAGGCTTACATCCCGAGTCAATATTAATGGATTCTTCCGGGCTGGTAAGCTACGGTCCAATTGGTATAGAAGGGTGTCTTCGGTGGACATCTTCTGTGGCAGTGGGTCTTGGTGTCAGGCAAAGTGTCTGGGTTGGTGGCTGGCTGGTAACTGAAGAGTTCAGGTCACCAACCAGCCGCAAGGAGTGATGTAGAGGATTTACTGAAGATGAAGCAGATGTTTGAGGAGAAAGTGAAGTTGGGACAAGGGATCGAAAGGCTGGAGATTTCTGATGATATATGTGTCTCTCTTTAATGCATGTTGCTATCATTCTATTATGTGCGTGCTTCCCAGCTGGTCTAAAGTGAAGACCATTCAGGGTGAAAAGTGTTTCTGAGAGGCTGCCAAGATCTAAAAGTGTTTTTTATTGTCTAGTGTAAGTGTAAGTTTAAGTGTCTAGTAAAGTGTAGTTTATTGTCTGCTTTATTAATTTTATAATTTACAAGACTGTTGTCCAGGGGGCTGACAGTGGCTGTCAGGTCATTATTGTGCTGGGAAGCCTGGAGGTTTTTTTGAGATTCATTCATCTAGCTTACGTTTGCCACCCAATTTTATCATACACAGTTCTGCCCACCTATTATGAAGCCATGTGTTTAACCTTCCTTAGATCAACTATCAATAAACAGCAATGATTGTTGCGACTTTTTTTCATTCCACTAATAACTGGTTTTGATTTAGAAAAAGTGCCTTTTTATATTTTTAGACAGGAGTATTTCTTAATTATATTTTCAAGTGTGTTTGTTAGAATTCTATCTCACAGTCCACATGAAAATGCACAAGTAGTCTAATTCAGTGTTGTTGATATGGGTAACACTAAGAATGTTTGCAGGAACTGAATCGTCTGAGAAGAGCTGCTATATCGTTTGGATTTATTGAGCTGCTTGATGGGCTAGCAGCAATATTTGAACGTGAATGCACAATTTTGCCTGGCTCGGCACATCCTGATTGTGCCTTGCAGCTGACACATGCCGCTGGTGTGTTACGCAAACCTTACAGTCGTGAAGTGAAATTTACCATTTCTCCTCTCAGAACAAAATTTGTAAATGATGACTGAATTGGTGAAAAATTAATTAATTGGAAGATCATGAATGTGAGTGTCATAATGTTTGGAATTTGACACAAAAGTTCAAGGGTTGCTGCTAATAATATCAAGATATATATTGGATTCATTTTAGCATATCAAGGATAATTTGTATTTTAGATTGGCAATATGACATGGAAGGATTTATATCAATATTTATGGTGTTAAGAGAGGTCAGAGACAAAAACAAGATGAATGCCATATGCCAATGTCATATGAAGCTATTACACTGAAATGGAGATAGTGATACCGTTATTTTTGATAACTAATGCCCTTTGAACTGATGTCATAGGTGTGAAAATTTTGTGTATAAAAGGAAAAAAGACTTCAAACTGCTAAAGAGATCGGGTTTATTCGACCTATTAATCTGAAAATTAACGTTTCTAATGAGTGTGGAAGTAAATTGTAAAATTGAATAGAGAAAAATTGTCTCTGACATTATGCAACTGAGAAAATATATAATTGTTATGTACGTTGCTATTATAGGAAATTTAGGTCTCTTTGTGTAATAACCAAAATTACTCTTATTATTATAAATTTATCTGCTTTATTAAGTTTGTTGTGAGACATTGCGCTCTTTTGTGCCATTTCAAATTTCATTACATTTCACTGAACATGCCTGATCTTGTGCACTCAGTTGTACATTTTCACAGTTTGAATTTCTTCCAATTTGATCCATTATTGATCCAATAATTACTTTTATTCCTTGTGCCATTTGCTCTAGTGTATATGGCTTACCAATGTCAGGCACATGAATAAATAATGTGTGCCTGTTATCTATGCATAAAGAAGTGTAGTAGATGAATTCACACAAGTACCTGCAAAAAATAATATGAGTGAAATTACAGTTTAGTCAAATAAAATCAATAGTAGCAGGATATAAGATGTGTCATTCAGTTATCAGTAATTTTCATTTGAATTTATTTCATTCTACCTATCAGTTGTAAAAGATGCTGCAAAAGTTGAATTTATGATAAACTATTCCTTTCACTAGCCAGATTTTGTACCGAAGGAAATAAAATATTTATTGTTGGTTTTTTTATGTGCCTTTTGTTGCTGGTGTTAATGCTGACTATGACCCCCATTAATTTTAATGAATTCCCCAATATAAAAATATTTCACCTTCCAGCATTATTAGAAATAGTGGCTGAAACTCCTAGATTTGTGTTATTCATATCTCCCACCACTTTTTGGAGATCTAATTCTGAATAAACATCTTCACAAACACCGTAGACACATTTTCCATCGGGAGGTAACTTTCCACTCGCATCACAACCTCTGTAACCAGATTTATGAGCGCACGATTCAATTGTAAGTTCAGTAGCTGCTGCTGAGACGCCCAAATGTATCACTAACTGCAAGTGAATAAGGCACTTATTAGCACTTATGACTTAAAGGACAGGAAGTAAAATAATTATGTTATGGTATATTACTGTAGGTTTCAACTCTAGCCAGAGTTTAGGAATTTCTTCCAGTACAGTTTTATACGATACTTCAATTTCTTTAGTTTCTAAATGTATTCCCAAATCGTCAACGCCCAAATCTTTTACTGCTTTCACGACTTCCCAGCTGGCATTCGTCTTGTATTGTCGAAACGGCCCAAATCCAGTGAGAAGAACGACAGGTTTTTCGTTCATTCCTGGACTCAAGACGTCAATTCAAAGCACTACAAATCAAGTAATACGTAAACTACTAGTGCCTAAAATTGGTTGTAACATTAAAAACGTACCTGAAGTCTCGGGGACACGTAAATGAGAGGAAGTCATGAGGTTATGAAACACCCCAAGTCACAAGATTTTCATACGAAGGAAATAACGTATGTCCTACAGCGAAAAATTTGCTGGGTTTCTTGCCCTACTTGTGATGTGACTTGGGGTTTCACCAACACAGACATCGTTAATAAATTACTAAGTGAACCAATTATCTACCGTCGCTGGAAAGGTAAATATTGAAGATAAGACTTCCCGTCTGTCGAGTGTCTTAAGAGTGCATTGCACTACAGTGTAATTTTCCATCAGAAATATGAGGGGTTACTTCCTCATCGAACCTTTCTTGGATAAGCCTACGAAACCCAGAATTGATCGTCAATTATAACTATCGTGTATTAAGTTAATACTATATAAAGTGTATAGTTAATACTATTAACTAGCCTATATTGCGTTGCCGGATTTTGCTTTAAGATGCGCATCAACTACACTTTCTTCGTGTGTTTCGGTGAAGAGGGGAAAAAAGAGAGAAGCATTATCTAATTTACAATTTTTATTGAATATTTTCATACTATTTGTAGAATTTTTGCCAAAATGAATATTCCCTAGTCGATCTGGCCGACTCTAACCTCTGGAATTTTGGGAGGATCGTACTTCTCTTAATTCCTTTGGGACATTCAAAAAAAATTCAGAAACGGCTCCAAACCTTTTGTTTAAATTTCTTGTAAGAGTAAAGTAAAATAATTATTAAGATGATGACACGTCCGATTTATACTGTTAACTCTTTAATTTTCAAAAATTTAACTAGTTTGATTTTTACTTTCCCATGTATGTTCGTAAATACGGAGTAAATTCTGTTTGTACGTAAAAATGTACGTATATAAATTATCCGCGCACATTTTCTTGAGCCCTCGCTTCTGTTGTTGCAAGAGGAGTGGGGAGTTTGGTTATTTCCACAAAAGGACTTTTATATCAAATTGATTTGTTCGTTTTCCCATGCAAAATAGTTTCTATTACATGGGAGAGAACAGTTCTAGTTATTAGATTGTGTCTACAACGCTCGTTGCTATTATTTATTTTTAATTCAACTAATGTTGGCAAAGGGGCGGGGATAGATATTCCGGGGAGGAAAACGTGCGTCTTTAATACGTTGCATAGGGAAAGTGATGAAATGCTGCGGAAAATCGATTTCGAGATTTCAACGGAAATACACTATTTGGAGCCGCAGATACCGACATTTTTATTTATTTATTTTTCAAAACGTCCGTCTTTCTGGTGTATGTGAACCACACTAGCGCCTAAGCCATGCGAAGGATTTTTTTTCAAGAAAACCCTGTTCCTTTGGCATGAGTCAAAGCTCTGCGATTTTAAAAACCATTCATTTGTGTTCATATTTGAAGCCCCTGGGACATTTTCAAAATTTTCTCAAAAATGGCTGTACATTTTTTCTTTAAAAGTCTTATAAGAGTAGAATAAAATGTACTAATAGGTCCGATTTCCGCAGTAAACTCTGAATTCTCGAAAATTTCAAATGTTGGAAATTTTCGGGTCTTCTTACAACAACAAAATTAAAGATAGAGATTTTGAAAAATTAGAAAAACAAGATTTTCTCAAAAACCGCTCCAATTTTTTTCTTTAAACTCTTGGTTGGGATTGTGCTAAATGAACTCTATAAGATATATTGCCCTATTTTTTTGTTTTTTCAATAATTACAAAAATGTCATTTTCTGACTTGTCTCTCACGTCGTTAATACTTACATAAGCAGCAATTTGCCCATATCATTACATTTATGACTACATGTGCTTTAAATAATGACACAATGGGTCTCGAAAACTGAACCGTTTTCTGTCAAAACTAGCTCAAAATTTCGCAATTTCAGGAATGCTCAAACGCCATTTTTTCAAAAAAGTCTCCAATTTTATTCTTCAAACTTTTCGAACTCATAGTGCTAATTGCACACTTTAATATGATGTGAAGTTTATTTCAGAGGATTTAAAAAAAAAAAATATGTATTTTTAAATATCTCTCATGCCGTTAATATGCACATTTCCAGTAATTTGTAAACACTATTGTATTTGTGAGTTAATGTGCTTCAAATGACGTCTAATGAAGTTTTTTGAAAACATAAAAAAATTTTGAGAAAAAGTGCTTCAAATTTGGAATATACTATAGTGCTTCAGTGCCATTTTTATAAAAAGGCTCCTAATTTTTCAAAGAAAATTGTCATTTAGGACGTGGTTTTACTGTTTTTTAATATTCTTAAAATAATATTTCGGGTCTAAACCGAAAAATTAAAAAATATGTATTTTGGGTGGCGATAGATGGAGCAGGCAAGTATGAATAACTAGGCGAGACTAAAGGAAATAGAAAACAAATACAGGAAAGTCTGTGCCATTCTGTAGCACCACTAGTATTTTTTTTTTGTTGTGTTTTCATAAAACTACAATAATATAGGTAGTTTTATCTCTACACAAACCATATATGTAAAAAGCACAAGTGACTACAATTTTTTTCTTTAAACTTTTTGTGTGAATAGTACTAAATGCACTGAAAACATGACAATAACATCATTTCGATTTTTTAAAGTGACTCTTAAGTACTAATTTTAAAAAAAATGTACAACGCTTTTTTAAAATAATAAAGCCTTTTTAAAATAAATGATCAATAGTATGAGAAGTGTAGTACATCGGAATAGAGAAGCCAGGTAGCACAAATAAAATTAGATCAGAAGACAGTGAATGTGTTTCAATTTCCTGAAAGTCCATAAATTGTTCCATTAAGCAATTTTAATTCATCCCGAATGTGTGATTAAACTTAAAGAGTGATTCAAATTCAAAGTTGAAAATTTGTTGAGACGAAGTGGGATGTTGAGTATATTTAAACGAAATTCTTCAATTTAATACTCTTGATACAATTCATTCCTTTTCCTATCTAATAGATGATTCTGGTGAATATACACCTGAACAATGCTGAGTTACTTTCATTAGTAGATTAATAAAACAAATTTTTTATAAGTAAGTATTTCATATGGGATCAATACAAAGAAGAGAGAGAGCAATATTCCAATACTTAAAATATATATAAGAAACATATTAATAAAACAATATTGTTGGCATATATTTTCATTTTACACTTGACTCTTCTACTGCTTTATGTGAATACTTATTTCATTAAAATCATTCTACAAAGTTGGTATTTAATTTTTTTTATATACTGTTTCAGAAATATTTTAAGATTTTTAATAAATCTGGAGGAATTTTATCCGGTTGAGAACCTCAACAATATTTTATGCTTGGGGGGCCTGGAAAAACTAAATCTGACCTGAATATAAAACACGTAAAATGCATAAAGGGGATAAAAAACTTTCAATAAGCAACAATAGAAATTCAACCTACTGCTTTCTGTTATCAACACAATGTGTTGGGTAATTTTTTAGGAGGGCCGGGGAGAGAAAAACATCTAACATATTCATTACAATCGTATTTTTATTAGTAAATTGTTCAAACCAATAGTTACTCTGAAAATTAAACACATGTTCTATACCCCATTTACTGAGATGAACAATGTTTTGAACAGGTTTTTGGGCCTAATACCCTTTAAATGAAATGTCACTACAAAATGGATATCAATTACTACTTTGCAGAGTGAATCTTCTGTTGACAGAGTAACACAGGTGATAAGGGGGGTTACACAAACATAAGTTACATGCGAGTTTCTCTTTATTTTCTAATTTTGATGTTAAAAAAACTGTTTTCAATCTATGTTTTCTTTCACACTTCAGAGTTCATCCTTTTCTTTGTGAGAATTTATATTTTGAAATTGTCTATGACAGCTGCACTGTTTGTGCGGAGAATCTTTGCTAGGCTGTGGAACATGATCCATACCGTCAAGAATTTTAACAGGTTCACTCAGTCTTTTACTCCATTCCTGCAATGAGTACCGGAGCAATACATAAATTTAACAATAAAGTAAAATGGTACTTTGAAATTAGTTTTCAGAAACCTACCTTAAAAAGCAATGCATGGTAACATATAATATCTTGAGGCAACAAGTTCTCTCGAGCAAATGTTTGGGCAGCAGCTGCTATTTGCTTTGCCTTCTCATCATTTCCTTTGGCCCACAACACCTGTTCAACCAAGTCACTCAAATCTCTTTTGAATGGGATGTAATGTTTCCAAGGTTCTAATTCTTTATAGAAATGTTCATAGTATTTTGATTCCTGTTTTAAAACTAAGGAATCTCCAGCCAACAAATATGGAAAGCGATATGCCGCTACTGTTCCATCAATATTCACTTGATATTTGTACTAGAAAGATACAAATTTAATTTATCATGCACAAATTGATATGTAATAACAGAACAACTTCATAACAAATCATTGCAAATTACTTAACAGGCACATACATTTCTTGACAAATTGACACACCTTTAAGTGATATGGACAAAAGTTATTTGATATCCTTGAAGAAACAAATTTAATAAAGCCAATTTTTCGGTAGTGGAAAAATGTAAGTTTTTGGATAATTTTTTTCCTATAATGTAATTATATCCTTCAGTCAATTTTAGTATCTATCACCATCTTGATGTTACAAAAATTTATCACAACAAATAAAAAATGAATTTCAGATTTCAACAAGCATTCAGTTGACGCCATTCTAATATTGCAAAAAGGTCACAAATCTAGTTACTTACATCAAAAAACTTGAAAAATGATACATGCTGTTCCTTTGGACCATACTTTTCCATTTCTTCTCTGAAGAAAAAAAAGTTTGTCATAGATGCATTAAACAATTCTGGATGCTCCCGAGCAATTTCAATAAGTTTTAGTCTTTCTATTCGAGAATCTCGACCTCTCCAAAATGCTTTCTCCAATTTTTCATTCCAACTCTTGTCAATGTTTCCTTGCACAGAAAGCATGTCAAGAGTTACTCTGAAATCAACAGTAACATAACAGTAACAATTTACAAACAAATTGAAAGTTTACACTGGAAAATTTAATTTATTATTTTCTATTAGTATGGGTATTTAGTACCTTCCCATACATTCCAATGTTGATTCTGTTATATCATATGTAGGCATAACAATATCTAGGGTATCATCTGAGCCACACCATGAAAACATAGGTAACGGGTTAGCATCACTGTTTTTAATTAATGGCCAATCTCCTAAATTGACAAACATTTCAACATCAGGAAGCTCAACTTTACGAGACAAAGACAGCAAAATTTCATCCATGAACATTTTAAATCCTACATGTTGACCATAACAGTTTCGAAAAACCTGAAAAATAAATGTACAGACTTTATAATAAACTTAAACTCCATCAGTATATTGGACTCCTTGTTTCAAACTCCAAAGGAACTCAACATTTTCAAAAATTAAAATGAATAAAAAATTGAAGAAACTATTCATTAATAAAACAGTTACTACAGACACAAAATCAGTAAGTCATAACTGATATTAATATGATACTTCATAGTTTGAGAAAAATGATTTCTTAAGATGCAGAAAGTAAAGATTTGAGGGAAACAAACTTTGAATATGGGTTTTAAGTAGGAAGTTCAAAGGAAACTATCTTAAAGAAAGAGTTCAATTCAAATTATTGATAATTTCCCTACACTCGCCTGATGTGTAATAAAAATAATAATACCCAATAAGGAAATATCTCCGAAACGATGTTGAACCAACAAACAGGTTAATGAATAATGACCCTATGCACATACTTGCAGTCCATAACTATTTTTTTAACAAAGTTTTATATTAGTTCATAAATATAAATTTTTTTATTATTAATCTTTTACATTGCAAAGATAAAGGTTCTTTTTTTAAATATATTTTGATGATCATATATGTTCAAGATTGTAATGTTACGGGACCTTTGAAGTTTATAGGCCTCTCAAGATATTAATATGATTCTGTGAACCATCCATTCCATAAAAGGAAAGAATACCTTGTTTTCTCTAACGATATAATGGCAAATACTGGTACTTCTAGGATTATTAAATTTGGAAAGCACCATTTCTTGAACAAAAGAAAAATTAACACTAGTAAAATGCTTTAAATCTTCTTCAATTTGTCTATATTTTCTTTTACATCCATATGATTCCTGCCAATTTTCAAAGTTTTTTTCTGGACAATAACAATGTTCAGGATAGACTGGTCCTGCAATAATATACAAAACATAGATATTAAAAAAAATCATTTGGTATAAATGTATTCGAAACTATTTTCAAAATTATAACAAATCATGAAAAATGACAAGTTTACAGATAATCTATAAACAAAAATATGAAAAATAAATTGTATCAACTAATGATTCACATCAATAAACCATTAAATTAGCTAGACACAAGGAAAAAGAACAGAATCCTTGAAAAGGAGATTACGCTTGGAATGGTAGAAGGAAGTGGAAAGAAGGGAAGAGAAAGGCCAGACATCATAAAGTGGGATGAAGACAGAAACCAGTTGAGAAAGCTTATACTTTATGACACAAGCAAAAGGAAGAGGTAGTCTGAGTGAGCAGTGAACAAATAGCTAGTTTTCTACCACTGCACATATCCAGTTAGGATAACAAAGTATTCCTCGCAATCTATGTATGACAAAATGCAATGTATTGTTACCAGGAATAACATAAGGAGAACCAGCAACGTCCATTTTGTTATATTTAATTTGTATCTTGAGATTTTCACAGACATGATACATTTTATATCGAACAATGAAAGTACCATCTTTCCGGTCTAGAATATTCATCCATGTTGAACACTTATTTGAAAGTTTAGATGTACCAGTAATATGTACAGAAAAAATATTGCCGGGAGATTTTGAAAATCTGAAAAGAATACGTTTTGTTTGAATGTTCATTACATGTCCATACTTTGAATTACTTTATCCAATTGTAAAAACGTAAAACGGTCATTGCATTACAATCACGTACGGTACACCATTAGAATCCACTGTACTAATGAAAAAATATCGAGCAGGTAATACAATTCGTTCAGGATGAAGGCCAGGGCCCCACACAACACATTTTTGGGGGTCTACTTCACAATTTATTCCTTCTAACAACATTAAAGTGAATGCAATATTGAAGAATATTGATTTCAGTAAGTACATTATGCAAAAATTATAATTATTGAACTTTTAATTTACTTGAATGTACATGCACAACATCCAATAATATTAAATATAACATAACACAAATCCAAATCTGCCTCGCAAACACAGCTGGTTCTGAGCGCAATGATCGCCGGCATTTGTCTCTGAGCCATGCAGAACATCTAGTTGTCAAATTTGCTGCCAACTACCCTTACGTCATTGCCAACATCAGCACCATTCAACACTTTGATTAACTTTGTATATCAAAGCTTGTTCCGGTTGGTTCGACGTGTTGGTGATGGTTGTGGAGTATGGGAAGCGAAAGTGAAATTCGGAAAATGACGTTTAATTTAAGTGTTCTCTAGTGTGGTGTTCATAAAAGGTGAATTTCACAGTGTCACTCAGGAAATTTAATTATTATAGCAAGAAAGAAGAGAGTTGTTATCTATAAAATGCTAATAGAGTTAATAGGCGATAAGCTCCGCGTGAAATTCACAAGTGCCACATAGCCGGTCAGATTATTTTTGAGTGAAATTTATTATTGAAGGAAAGCATGCAATGACTTCACGATGGAAGAAGAAGGAAACAAATACAATCTTCTGTCTACTAGGGATGATAGTGATATTGATGAATATTTTATGTGGACAAGGTAATGTGTTTTAGTTCTTTATTGTTTCTCTGATGTAAAGCATAAGCAGTATATATATTCATATGTTATAACATTTTAAATGGTAAAATTTATGATTACAGAAATGAGAAAAGAAAATGGCTATTTACACTCTTTGCTGGCACATCTGCATTGTATGCCAGTAGAACATCTGTACCGTTGTTGATTCCTTCTATCAGTTTGGAAAGAAATTGGAGTAAGACTGACTCTGGCACTGTGTTGTCCAGTTTCTTTTGGGGTTATACTCTAACCCAAGTGCTTGGTGGCTATTGGAGTGACAGAATTGGTGGCCAAAAAGTAATGATGACAGCTGCAGTTGGTTGGGCTCTCATAACATTTTGGATGCCTCAGTTTATTTGCTTGTTTTCCAATCAAGCATTTTCTGTTAATTTTGTTGTTATGATTAGAGTTCTTCATGGTGCATTCCAAGGTGTGAATTTGTTCTAGAAGCTTTTTGTTTTTCATTTATCAATGAATAGCTTGTAAGGATATCATATTATATTCGCAGGTGTCCATTTCCCGAGCATGAGCAGTTTGACCTGTCAAAGATTATCAGAAAAAGAGAGGGCATCTTTCTTTGGTGTGTTGACATGTGGATCTGCTGTGGGGACTCTACTTACAGGATCATTGGGTTCATACTTGTTGGATTGTTATGGATGGCCTGTTGTGTTTTATGTTATGGGTACAGGATTGCTATTTTCATTTAAAGTTTATTTCAGTTAGAATACTTTAAAAATTATATTTTAAATTGTTGATTATTATATCTCAGGATTTTTGGGTGCTGTTTGGACATTGCTGCTTCGATATTACATATTGGCCATGGACAGGAGAAAAGCAGCAATAGTATCAGTTCCAGTAAAGTTACATTCCTCCTTAAATGCTACAGATGCTGTTCCTGTTCCATGGATAAATTTATTCAAGAAACTTGCTTTTTGGTATGTGTTTATTAAATAATAAACTTGAAGATTCATATATTTTGTTAGAAATTTTGTTGAATTTATATCACTTGTGACTAACGTACTTTTTATTTTATTTTAGGGCCTGTGTTATTGGTCATGCTTGCCAAAATAATTGCTTTTTCCTACTTTTATCATGGATGCCAACTTACTTTCACGAGACCTTCCCTCATGCAAAGGTATTGCTTTGCATTCAAAGAAAATTACCTGATAAAAATTAATTAAAACATTCTGGCTTATATCCTAGAATTAATAATTATGCTATTGGAGATCGGAGGTTAAGTAACTTGAATTTCGTAAATCATGTAAGAAGCAGCAAAAAGAAAATTTGTTATAGAAAACTTTTTGTTGAAAGGAAAGAAGATCCATATTAAAAACTCGTGACTGCACAGTTTTCCATGTTCATGTTGTGTGTGTGTAATTTTGTTGTTTAAAAAAAATCTTATCTAGAAATCACATTCTGTAGGAATCAACCCAGTTTCAAATTATTGCAAAGATTTAGTTCAACTATTTAATTGTATTTGCTTTTTTGAAAAAGTGGGAAGAATTTTGAAGGGACAGGCAGAGAATTATGAAAATCTAGCAAATTAAAGAAATTTCCTTAAATGCACCATTCCTTGGTTGTTTCCAATTTTGCCATTTATTGTTAGATCTAGTTCTGAGAACCATATCTGCTATTGTAGTTAATTCAAAAATGCTTTATTACAGTTCTGCCCCAAAAGCTTAATTGTTTAAAATAGACCATTCATATATAATTATTTAAAGGTCAAACGGAGACAATTGCAATTGCAATTGCAAACAGTTTCCAGCAACGTTTTTGCTTGCATCAACCAATGACCAACCTGAAGAGATCCACTTAGGGTATCAGGGTAAAGGGAAGGAAACCCACATTTACTGTCCAGAAGCAAAAGATCTCTTGCATTTTGTGTGAGTGGTTATCTAGAGTTTTGTTTCCCATAAAACCAGACAGATAAGAAACACATTTATTCTCTGTACAAGTTTAGTAAAAATATAATAAGTAGTCAAATAAGCATGTTAAATATTTTCAACAAATTATTACAATAATCCTATAAAATTGTTCCAAATTAATAGTAAATTACACTGGAATCCTTTTCTTCATGCTGATTTTTTTGCATTAAAATGCATTACCTTATAAGTGGCAATACTACATACAGTGCCCCTCCACAAGCTCTGTATGACCACTTATCAGTTAATGTTATCTTACTACAATTAGTTGAACTTATGTTTTCAATGTGACTGATAAAATTAGATCATTGCCTCGTCACCTCTCGTCTTATAAAATGAATTTTTTAAATTAATTCTGGAACGTCCTTCACAATGGGACTCATGACCTCAGAAATGTGTTTATCTCTGTTAAAAAGATTCATTTTGCAATGCAGGAGTTGTAACAATGACCTAATGTTATTGGTCACTAAAAAAAAATGAAGTATACAATGTAGGCCTATTTCCTTATTTAAAGCAAAAAATTGTGCATGAAAATAAATTAAATTTATATACTTACAAAAATTAAGGGTTTGGGTTATGGTTTTTTATATTTAAATCAATAAATTTTATTTTCATTGTTCTGGTCAAGCCTGTATTTTCTCTAATGGGATCTTTTGATAAAATGTGCTCTAAACAATGTTAATATAGTGAATCTAATTTCAGGGGTGGATTGTGAACGTGGTGCCCTGGCTCTTTGGAATTGTTTGCACTTTTACAGGCAAATGGCTCTCTGAAAGACTTCTAGCAAAAGGATTTTCTGTTACTTCCACAAGAAAAATAGTGGAGTCCCTTTGTTTAGGTCTTCAGGCTTTCAGTCTTTCCATTATATGTAAGTGCAGTTCTTTTCCAGTTACATCTTTAGGACTTTATTTATAATGTTCCTAATTGAACTACTGTGAATCTCACAAGTCCCATTGCATCACATCACATCACAAAACAAAATGGTTATTTGTATGATATTGGGGGAACAGTGAATTAATTTACCTTTCTTAATTATTTTAAGAAAGTTTTGTATTAAGGTTTTACTCAGGATTAATTTAATATTGGATATATCTTTGTTCAGTTTACACTGAATGTAGAGAAGATTCATGAATTCCTTGTTTCCTTCTTGCTATCAATGATCGCTTGATTTCTGAATTTTATTACTCTTGTAGAGGAGATTTGTGTTGGTGCCAGGATATATTTTTTATTTTAAAATTCACAATTTGTTTGTTTATATTTTAGATTCCTTTGGATTTCTTTCTTTATGAACATTTTACCCCAAATTTGTTAAAAGACCAATAAAATTATTTTGAAAGTAAGGAAGTAGGTTCTTTTTGTTTTGTTGTCAATTAGGTTGAAATGTTGCACTTTGGCATAAGATTTTTTTATGAAAATGAGATAAAATAATGTAGCTTGTATTAAAGAAATATATTTTCAAGAGCCTCATGAAAATGATACAATATATACAATTTTTTTTCACTTGTGTTTACTTTACAGATTCAGTAAATCATGAATGTCTGCTTAAATGGAACATTGTAATTTGAAAATAAATCTGCATTTTATGTATATTCTACAATATTATACAATGCTGATTGTTCAATTTATTATAATTTTTTGGAGTGTTTAGTTAAAATTTGATGCTTACTGATTAAACACCAATCTTAAATGTGCATCTCACAAGTAAGCTATCATTCTGATGAGTCAAACAGTTTAATACGATTTCATTAAAAGTCATGTGTAGGCAACCACTGAATTCTGAAAAGATACTTGATCATATTTAGATATAGATGACAATTGCTGGGCTGTGGTTATTTTTTTTTTCTTTTCAGATTTATATATACAATGTGTCTTTTGTGGATGTAAACAAACTAATGGTAATATTATTTACTGTCAGGGTTGGGCAGTATTTAAATACTTGAATTTTAAATACATTTTGTATTTGAAAAACTGTATTTTTGAGTTTTTTGGTCATGTATTTAAAAGCTGTATTTGAAAACATAAAGAAGGTGTATTTAAAAAAATAAATACTTTGAATTCAGATAAAGAAGAAGATAATGAAGATAGTTTTTGTTTGATTGCTAGTGAATGCACCTTATTGAAACAAAACTAAATGCCCCTTTTAGCTGCTTAATTTGAATTATCTTCATTTTAAAATGATTATATTATTAAAATTCTGGACAAATTTGCCACAATAAAAAAAAAAGATATATATCAAAATTATTATTATTATTATTATTATTATTATTATTATTATTATTATTATTATTATTTTTATTATTATTACAGTTCGTTATTGTTCAGAAATTTGTATGACTGAAAATTACTAATTTATTATAAGTGACAAGTTCAATATATTTAATCAATAAAAATATATAATACAAAATTATTATGTTTATTGTATTTTGAGTATTTATTTAAATACTTGTTTACAGAGTATTTTGGTGAAGTATTTAAATACTAAATTTAAAGTAGTTTGCCCAACCCTATTTACTGAACTTTTGTATGCATCTAACACACATACTTTCTGAGAATGATGGAGGCTAATTGTTTTGTTATGTCTAGACCACTTTGGTTTAGTTTGATGGGTCAGTTTTTGTTAATAACAGTTAATGTTCAGAATTATAAGTTTTGTTTTGTTAATTTATAATATGCACATTTTGTTTAGCTTACTACAACAACTATTTTTGGGCTCTGTTGAATATGACAATTGCTATAGGAGCATCAGGTTTTCATAGTAATGCAATTTTGGTTAACCCTCAAGACTTGGCTCCCCAACATTCGGGCAGTGTTTTTGGTTTGATGAATACTGTTGGAGCTGTTCCAGGTAAATTTACCATAGAAATTTTTCTTTCTGAATATTTTACTGCATACAGATGTCTGTGTTTTGTACAGTTTGAAATGTGGTTATCTTCTCTTGACATAGAGTTTGCATTCCTCAGGTTTCTTGGGAGTGTATCTTGCAGGATACATGTTGGAAGTGACTCAAAATTGGGCTGCAGTTTTTCATACAACAGCACTCATTAATATTTTTGGTGGAATTGTTTTTATCCTTTTTGGCAGTGGAAATACAATCCTTTAAAGATCAAAAAGGATTTCTTTGATTACACTGAATAGGATTAAAAATATTAAGGAAGTACTCAAGAAGAATGTGTATAAATAAAGAAATTGACCAATTCAGTAATGATGGGGTACAATTGTGTAGGTTTTGTGACCAATATCTGTGTGTAATAAATGTTAGTAATGTTGGGGCTGACGTAGCATCAGTCATGTGGTCAGCTGTGTTACTCCAAAGAAATTGAGGTCATGAACAGTGCGGCACGGATATTGTGCACTAGAGCTGGCGCTGGGGTCTCGTGGTTGCTAATTTTCATCAATTACTGTGACATTCTTTCAAGCAAAACTGTTAATTTTTTTTACTGTTTCCAAAACTCAACTGGACATGTACTTGGATTCACTGTTTGATTCAAGTTGTTTGTGGCTTTGCCGTAATTTCATCTTCTTGCTATCACAAACTTGTGCAAGTATAACTTACTGAACAAAGTTTATATTTTCTGTAAAGATAATGAGAGAAACATCTGGTAGTTTAATGTTCTTCCCAACAAGGTTAGTGATTTCTTCTTCTATATCAGGCATGATTAACTGCTGTTCATGATTTGCATGTGGCTTGCTCAAGACCTATTCCTTTGAAAATTATTATTTGTATAGTTTTTAATTTCTCTATTGGAGATAATAGTGCCTGACAGGATGATAATACTGCAATCTACAGTATTTTTAGGTAATTACAATTCACCTTTTCCTGAACTAATGGTTAATATGGGTGTAATAATTCTTTTAAAAAATGTCATTTTATTGCAGTTTGATTGTCGACGATTGAAGTGGCTGATTGATACGAACCATTTTGAAGGAATTTCATGAAATACCATTGCATTGAACACCAAGTAAACTTAAGGGTACACAGTTTGAAAGTGGAAAATTTCATGCCAACTATTATCCAAGTTGTGAATTCATTAGATTCACAGGCTTCAATCATTGTATTTGCAGGACGTTTTTGATAGCATTGTGGCAGAGTAAAGAAATGTTATATTTCTTGAAGAAATATGGGTAAGCTGGGGCAAAAAGCTGAAAAGATTTCATAGTATATGCAATAGATATAGTTTTTTATGGATTCAAAGGAAAATTTTGTGACATTTTGAAAATTATATGTGGCTAACAGATTCGGCTTATTTTTGGAAGTTTTAACTACTACAATTGAAACAAGTTGAACATTAAAATTCTGAGAATGACAAGAGTTAAACACAAGAATCAACTGATTTATATGGTTTCAAGCCATAACAATATTTGAAATGAAACATAAATTAGGGCATTCTCGAGTTCTTCTTTATGAGACTACTCTCTATGCTTCTTTATTAGTATTTTATCAAACCATTCTTCCAGGGAAAAAATTTCTATTTCTCTATAATGATACCTTATTCATCTCTCTTGAGCAGCAGGTACATTTGTCAACAATATTTTTGAGAACAAAGGTACAAAAAGTAAAGTAAGAAAATAACTTTCAGACTAACATGTAGAAAATTCATTTAGAACGGTAATCAGTTGTTTCAAGATTGTCTCATTAGTTCCAAACGCATAACAAAATATCAAACTAATTTTGTTTAATTGTGTTATTTAAAGTTTCATTTTGAATTTTCTGTATCTCAGTATCTTATTTTTGAATATTCTTTCTTCAATTAACATTATTCTTTTATGCTTTTCATTAAAGTCCTTTTTTTTTTTTGCACCCCATGGCCCACAGGTCACATGTATCTTACCGTGTGAAACTGTGCCGCTTACTGGGCAGTGCAAATTGTATATAAAATGCTTTAGGACCTACATAATTTGCTTGTGAAACATTTTTCATTAACTGAAAACAATTTAGGAAACCAGCTATCTGAAAAAACCAGCTACCAACAAACAGATATCTCATTACCATCTTTTAGTCTGTCTTTGAATTTATTATGAGTTTGGGAAGGGTTCAGGTACACATTTTTTAATAGACAAATTTTTTTGTAACATTAATTTATTTCATAATCGTGTAACAGTTTCTAGAATTGTTGTCCCTATCATCAGGCTTAAAAATTTGATGTTGAAATTATATATGAATTGAATTGAATTCATGCCTTATTTTATGTGGCGAGACTCAGGCGATGAGGCCTGCTCTTCTGTCTGACCACGCTAATTTCGCTAAGCTCCTTTCACCAATTAGCAGAGAAAGGAGGTATTTCTTGGGCGAGAAACAGGCGATGTTGAATTTGGCTCGCGGCTTCATTTAGGAGGATCTTTTACATGCAAGTACATCTACTAACATGGGACAGCTGGCTTTACTTCAAGCCTCCGGCCTCCCGCCTCCAAAGGAAGGTGTAAAATGAAAATGGAAATTATGACAGGCAAGAACTTACCATACATATGATTTTTGTGAGCTCTCATGTGTCTGGTAAGTTCTTAACCGTCATAAATTCTAATTTAATATTGTGTGGTAAATAACATTAAATTTTATACTATATAATTTCAACATTCAATTTTACAGCCTGATGTAGGGGAACAACAATCCCAGAAACAGTTGCACAAATATGAAATAAATAATAATACAAAAAAACTTGTCTGCCAAAAAATATGGACCCTATCCCTTCACAAACTCATAAATATCTCATTAATTAAGACTTAAAGAGTTAATTATGTTCAAATACAGTATAACAATAAAGTTTTATTCATTTTTTATTTTTTAAAAGTGTAAAAGCATGAAGCGTGACCTTGCTATAATGTGACACATCATCAAATTTGCTTTTAAAACCTTTGGGTTGGCCAATCCTATTCTAGGTGGTTGTATTCTTCCGGACATAATGAATTTTTATCCCTATTCAATAATTCCAATTGAGCATCATGGAGATCCACGAGTCTCGATGAACTGGTTTATTTCTTATTCATCTTGTCCAATCAACATGCCATGGGATGTTGTGTTTCCTCTAAATTTTAATTTGCCAATCAACTAAGTGGGATTAAGAGGTCATTATGTACCTTTGAAAATGATTGAGGTAAACTTTAACTGGACTGAGCATTCATAGCTGTAGCATTATTTGCCCATCATAATGAACCACGAAACCTGTGAAAATTCTTTTTCTTTATTTTATCGATTGACAGGCTAAAACTGACATGTTTTATGCTTTAAAAGTGTGTTGTTAAGAAATTACTTATTTTCAGGGCTAAATATGTTGAATGCAAAACTTTTGTTTGTTCATCAGAGGCTTCAGATTTGTTAGGCTCACAGTCGAAGCACATCTGAAGTCCTTTTTCAAATACCATGTCCACTAATGGACATGTTTGGATTATAACACGCCATTAAACATTGACCCTGATGTCATCAGTATGTGCAAATACACTTTATACAAACCAGATTACAAATTTTGCAGTAACCAACGTTTGAAGAGTTGTTGGCTGTTAAGTGAAGTCATTCTCACAGCCAATATTAATTGAAACTTATGGAGTATAATTTTGAGCATTCCATTAGTTCCAGTCCAACTTGTAAGATACAAGTTCCAGACTTTCTGTACATAGTAATAGATTGAAGTATTCTGTGAAATAAATTTTATCAAATTGATTTATCGTAAGCAGCATCAAGGAACTTTGTAATAATTTTTATTTCTAGTCACAATGAAGTGTTAGTTGAACAACATTTTTTCTCTATGTGGATAATGAACTAGACTTTTATTGTCGTAATATTTTATAAGGAGAATTAAATTTATAAAATTGCTTTTTCAGTGGGATTTCGTTTAAAGTAATCAAATGACCTAACTAGTCTGTGATGATCTTTTTAATGTACCAATTGTCAGTGTATATATCAATAAATATCTAAGTGCCCTATTTAATGTTTTGTCTCAATCTTAATGTTCGGAACAAGAGTCAAACATTGCTCCTTAAGAATTCTCTTTTCTTGTAGTCATGATTGTTTTTCCTATTATCCTCCAGGAAATCCTTCTCTTTTCCCCATTTTTTACTACAAAATGTAATTTTTAATGCCAATCTTTTTTACCTATTGCTTCTCTTGGTTTCTTTTTCACATAGTTTTACTTTCCTATTTACCACTACACAATAAGAGGAAGTTCATAAACTAAGCTTGTATTCTTATCAGTGCTGTCAAGGGAGTGGCTGGAGAAATAAGGATTGAGTTTTTGAAAATCAAATTCGTACCGGCATCTTCTGTATTACAATCAATTCTGTCCCCCCACAATTATAATCAAGTGTGAGAAACTGGAGCAAGTTAAAATGCTTTGGTCATCCATATAATAAATATTTGGCCATCTCAGTTGTAATTTTGAAACCAATTCTATTGTGTGTGTGTGTGTTTTAATCACATGGGGTTCAAAATTCATCTCTACAAGGTCTTGGCTGGCAACATTTTACATTGGGAAATTATTGTCAGAGACTAATTCTTACTGAAAAAAGAAAAGCATTATTTGAAATTGATAACGTGCAATAATACTCTGTTATGTTGGTTATTAGGCATCTGCTTTGAATACTATAGGACAAACAAACTAGACATACATACGATAAATGGTACATTTTTAATTACAAGTAGAATCACATTTGCACCAATTAATTACAATAATCTTCATTCATCTTGCATGTAGATCTGTGCATTTCTTACTCGGTAGTGGCTGTCATTGATCGCATTACTTTTTTATTGAAAAATCTTCGTCCTTGCACATTTCTAATTGTCTTAAAATTTTTACCACTTCCTTTTCTTTGTTTTTACTGCATCTTCTATCATTGAATTACTCTTGATCCATTGAAACCATTTTTTGTCATACTATTCTATCTGCAATCCCGGTGCATCCCCTCCACACTCCAAAATACCAATTCAACTTTAAAATATAAAATTCCAAAACATTTCTGAATTTTTCTTAAAAATGGTTTTCTATTTCCTTTTCATTTTATTTGTTGTGTTACTGTAATGTTTCTATTATTTTCTTATAGTCACTATGGGTTGAATGCACCTCATTTAAATATGTTCGTAGTATAGAGAAAGATTTCTAATGCTGTGTCAAAAATCAATGATTTTCTACAGAAAAACTCCTATTGTGGGGTCCTGGTACCTTTTGCATTGTTCTAAATTTTCAAAAGGATTTAATGCCATTGTTTAGTAATCTTTCAGTTTTATCAATGTAATTCAAGTAATCGTCTTAGTCTTTAATTTTGATAGTTTGTGGAGATTGGAAAAATAAATATAATTGATGTCATTTAAAGTTTGTACAATTTGTGCATAGATGATTTGCCCTTCAGTAATTTAATAGAATCAGATGAGTACCTCTAAGAATGTGTTAACATTGGTGTAATGCTGTTTTGTTGACTGTGGTTTTTTTAAATATATTTTTAATTACATTGATTTAAATTCCTTACTCTTTGTGTGCTATTATAAACAACTAGTGGTGCTGTAGATGTCACAGACTTTCCCGAATTAGTTTTCTATTTACTTTGGTCTGGGCTAGCTATTCAAACTTTCTACATACACTTGCCTGCTGCCAGCTACTGCTATTGTCGCCCAAAGTACATTTTTTTGAAATTTTCTTAATTTTTCAGTTTCCTAATAGTAGAATGGAAATAGTATTTTAAGAATATTAAGGAACAGTAAAACCTTGTTCTAAATGGCAATTTTCTTTGAAATATTTGGAGCCATTTTTAAGAAAATGGCATTTACGTGCTACTGTAGATTCAAAATTTGAAGCTGAAAAATTTAGATTTTAGTTTTTCAAAAAACTCCATATGAAGTTATTTCAAGAACTTCCAGTTACAAATTCAATAGTGTTTACAAATTCCTGGCAATGTGCATATTAATGGCATCTCAAAACAATTACATTTGTGTATTTTTAGAAAAAACAAGAGAATACCCCAAAAGCAAATGGCCCTTAAGTGGTAAAGTGAATGCAAAGTTTGAAGCACATTTTCACAGAAAATTTTTGAGTTTTCAAAAAATTTCATTTGAAGTACTTTAACTCACATATACAATAGTGTATACAAATTTTTGGAAATGTGCATATTATCAGTGTGAGAGATATTAAAAAAAATTACATTTGTTTAATTTTAGAAAAAAATACCCCTAAATGAACTTTACATCATATTAATGAATGCAATTAGCACTATCCTTTCGTGAAATTTAAGGAAAAAATTTGGAGCCAGTTTTGATAAAATCTTGCTCTTGTAATTTTTCAAAATTGCATGCAATATTGTGCACAAACTACTAAAATTGTCAAAAATATGTACACGGCCTTAATGAAAGAAATAAGATCTCATTATGTTGGCAGTACAACCTTAGGTGAGTCTTGGCTTGCTCAACAACCTTCTTCCACTCCTTCCTATCTTGAGTCATCTTTTTCCAATTCTTAATTTTCATTATATGTAGATCTTCCACAACGTGATCTTTCCATTTTGTTTTTGGACTGCCCATACAACTCATAGCTATTGGTTTCCAATTTTCTTAGTGTTTCTATCTGTATCCACCCTTCCTAGATGTCCGAAAGAACAAATTATGGACAACAAATTTCCTTTCAAGGAAACATCTCTACCTCTGATTTTGTAGTTGTAGGAAGACCCCCCAAAAAATTCAAAATTTTGAAATTTTCGAAATTTCAGAGTTAACCGTGAAAATCTGACTTGTGCCACCTTTATAAGTGTATTTTAATATATTTTTAGAAGAAATTAAAAGAAAAAGTTTGGAGTAATTTTCAGAAAATTTTGGAAATGTTCCAGAGGCTTCATGTAAAGTACCCCCCAAAAACTAATGAATTATTTTCAAAATCACAGAGCTTTAGCTCAGACCAAATGGGTAGCAGGGGTTTCTTTCTGGAAAAATCCTACGCCTGTAGATAAAAACTGATTTAGCAGCAATACTGCTCTAACACACTGAGTATTTAAATGTTCAATGGTGTTCATAATTCTAGATTTGTATTAAAATGTTTGCTAAAGCCACTTAAAGTCCATCTTAAAGATGATTATTACTAAAAATGGAATTATATTAATATTTATTTAAAGAACAAATTTAATATTGTTGAAACTAAGGAAATAATTGTTAATCTTACAAGTACAAATATTATTAAACTTTTTCTTTATATGTATATTGATTATATTCTATTTTAAGTGACAAGTATTCTTCCCACTGACCTTTAAAGCAGAGATTAATACCATTCAT